TATCCAAGATTTTCAATTGTAAAAATATTGGTTCAGAATGATCCATATAAGATTTAAAACAGATTAGTCGTACAATTTTTTTTTGCACATTTAGTAACTTTTGTAACCTTGTTGGGTATGTACTTCCCCAAACTAGATTTCCGTACGTGAGGTATGGATAGACCAATGCATAATAAATCAATTTCGAAGTGTTTTTGTTCGTAAAATGTCTTAGTTTAGCAATCAGACCCGCAGATTTAATTATGTTTTTCAGAACGGAGTTGATGTGATTCTTCCGTGTCAACTCTTGATCAATTAATACACCTAGGAATTTTACCCAAGGTACTTGTTCAACTATATCATTATTTATTTTTACTATGATTTCTTGATGCTGTGACTTATTTTTTGATTTAAAAATGACAAATTTTGTTTTCGATGCATTGATTGATAATTTATTGGCGTTAAGCCATTGCACTACTTCATTCATTTCATTTTGTATAGTACTAGCTAAAGTTTTTAGGCACGAATTTGAATAAAAGGCATTTGTATCATCGGCATATAAGACGAAAGAAAGAATTTTACTGCAGTTTTCAATGTCATTAATGTATATTAGAAATAGTAGTGGTCCAAGAATTGAACCCTGTGGGACGCCAGTCCTAACACTCATTTCAGTTGACCTATGTTGTTTATATTTGAAAAAACCGGGACACTTCCCAATTTTCCCATTTTACTTAAATAAATGCCTCCCTCGAATAAATGCCACGCTTTTCTCATTGATGTGGTTGTTAAAATTGGCTGAGTTTAGTTTGAATTAAACAATAAATTCACAGTGGTCTGGATGCTACAAAAACTAGTTTTATTACACTAACGTTGAAACCCATAAGTAATATAACATCTTCTCAACAAGCTTTAATTTCATTGATGTACTGTACTGGTGAAATTGTTTCGTTTTACTACTGGTCTTTTGAACTGTGATCACAGCTGTGATTGTGGCTGTGATCTTCTCGATCTTCAAGAGCCCGCGACTATTGCGCCCGTTTATTGCGCGCGATTATTGAGCCCATACTTTACTTCATGTAGCCCTGGCAAAATGAATAGGAATTGAAAGCAAACACTAAATTGTCAAAACAACGTACGTCACGGGAATTATCGCGATCGGCGACAAACTCGGCAATTGTTTGTGGCAACTAGAAGCTCCCAGTGCATTAATATGTATTGAACCAAACAAATTTCATTAATATTTGTCACATGAGTCTTATTTGAAGAATACAACTATTAAAATACTACAGAAACTGGGACAATAAGAAGAAAACCGGGACACCGGGACAACATAGTACAAATCGGGACAGTCCCGGGTACACCGGGGCGGTTGGAATGTTTGTAAATATATTTTCGAAACTATCCCACTTTTGTGAGCAAATTTCATAATTATAACCTACATACACCAGCAATACAAATATAATTTAATTAAATATATTTCCCAAACTATCCCATTTTTGTGAGCAAATTTCATAATTATAACCTGCATACACTTTATACCGTTTATCATTAAGATTAAAATCTGTCAAGAGAAAGACATATACAGCTTATATCAAATTATATTTGCACAAACAAAGCATATATACTCAACTATGGTAGGCAAGCAAGCCCAGGTAAGGGACCGGTCATTAAAATTTTGTTGCCCCCCCTTGAGGATAACACAATTATACTTGCCCTCCCCCCCCCCATGCAAATAACAAAAGGCACATTCATAATTTAAAGTTCTGATAAAGTGAAGCCACATTTAATTGTACTATATTATCATAGTTGCCAACATTGGGAAAAAACATCAGTGAGATTTTGCATTGGGGGGCCCACGAGGCGCCACACCATAGTTGGCGCCGAGCAGAAAAATTTTGAAAATATGGAGTCTCTAGATCGTTGGAAATGGCATTTTCAGAGTCTTCTATACCTTATACACACAAATTTTGGTAGCTTTTCTTTAGATGTACAAAACCATGTTGTTGAATACCCACGAGTAATGAGGTTGCATGAAATGATGTTTTCATTATCTATATTTTTGGTTTATTAATGGCATGAATTTTTTCAGAAGAAAAAAGTTATGTTATGAAGTTATTCTTAATTATAGTTAAAATGTGCAACAAAGCCAACATATTTAAGAACCAGTTGGGTTATTTTCGAAATCTGTGAGAATCTGTAAGATATTAACAATCTGTGAGCTCACCATGAGGTTTTAGTAAAATCTGTGATGCTTGTGGTGGATCCGTGAGAGTTGGCAACTATGCTCTATATATACATGTATTGTAATTTATATATTCTTTACCATTTATTGAGTCATCGGCTGTTCCAATGTACATGTTTATCGGTTGAAATCAGTTTACTACAGTTCTACTTCTCTCTATTTTTATCTGTAGGTTTTATGGTACAACGGGGTCATGCGGGGCTGGTATCTATATTGCACAAAAATTCCCCCCCCCCTTTTTCATGCACAAAAATATTCGACCCCCCCCCCACCTTTTCCACCAGCCCTCCCCTGTAATTAATGACCGGTCCCTAATATCTTTGTTTGCAAAATATCCAGTGCACAGTAATTGCCCAATAACTCAGGCAATGCAAAGCAATTAGACCCTTGTCATGAGGCATGCCAGCTCATTTCCATATAAAATGAAAATGAAATGTAATAGGAGATACCACTGGAATATGCAACTTGAACCAATTACCTTTCATGTAAACTCCCCCTTAGTCTTCTAACCAATATTGCATCACTATTACAAATCTCATTAATTAACCTGCAATATTATTATGCACTGTAATTACATACAGAGCCTGATGCAAGTCTTGACCCACACCATAGTTTTATTTTAAGTACAGGTATCCAATCAAAATGTGTCAGGAGAAATGTCAATTTCACACAATTTAACAACAAGCTAAATATAGTTACAATCACTATTTAATTATATATAGCATTAACCAAAATATAAAAAAATACATTAAATATGGCATGAATACTCATGCTAGCATGAATACTCATGCTAGAAATAGCCAATCAGAGTTACAACCATAAAGGCAGTTGTAGGACACAAACATTTTAATAACATATGTGTATCAGGTCTTCATTTTTCTTTGCCCGCCGGCACCAGCTGTGAGAAAAATGAAGGTCTGGGCAAGGTTATAATTAAATCCCATGTAAACAGAGATCAAATTTGCTTCAGTAAAGCAAGCTGTCAAGTATTGTTGGTATTGGGGCTGGTTTGCCTCAAAACAAGCAAACCTCTGTAAAATGTCAAACTACCTCATCCCCCCTGCTGGTATAAACAACAGTATTTATGAATAGACACGAACTTTAATTATTATGTTAATACATACAAATCTACATCAACTCTGGAGCCCATTTTCCACTTTATACACTTCTTAAACTGATATTTTACTACAATGTAAAATATAGATAAATTCCACTTTTAGAGCACTCAGTTCCAGTTTCACATAGTGGGCATTCCACATTCTCACAGTATAAATATACTTCAATTCTTGTACTCAGTTGAAAGATTAGATTCATTCCAAGCCTTGGTAATTAGACTGTAAATTATTTGTTCTCCATCAATTTTCGAGGGATATTTCTTCGCATTATTTGTTCATTTGCATGTAGTGTTTCCATATTCTTGCTGCCATGACTTGAATTGAATGCCTCGTTACGTCACAGTAGATTTTGATTTTGCAATTTGCATCAGTGGACCGATGCGAGCACCCGCAATCTGCATGCAATGCATCGCTGAGCGGACAAATCTAACATGACACAGGGCTCTAAAACAATAGATTTGATGATAATAGATTTCACCCAGAAAAGGTCTCGGGACAGATGCATTCACTGATGCAAAATGGCTGAAAATCGATGCAAACCAAATCTACCGTGACATAGGTGATGCATTGACTTTCTACTGTGACATCAAAGGATGTGCTAAAAAATAAATATTTTATTGCAAAATTATTGACGCTTGAGTGTCGCAAAATAAAAAGTAAATAACAGAAAATACACATTTACGATCGCACGTTGCATATTAACTTATTTTGACAATTTTCGACTGTTATTGAGCAGGGCCTCTTTTAAGGATATGTAACTGGGTGGGACATCTTTCCCAAGGGACCAAAAATAACGTAAAAAGGGGACCTGAAAAAAATCTACTAAAGTCTATAAAATTGCGGCTACTAGCTTAAATATGGGTTTCGCTCTAGGGCAGCAGATGATGGTCAAATTTAGAAAATAATGTCAAGTTGTCAACACACCTTTTTCTCACTTATATATAATTGCCAGGCAGCTAGTGAAACTCATCTATACAGTATACCACTATATACATGTAATCTATCAATCAGCAGTCCGATGTAAAAAACTTCTTTACGAAGTCACGTTCCGCATATGAACTCAGATTAGGAAGATTCATTCGCCTCTGTTTTTTCTGTAGAAATTCTTGCACCATAGGACTGGGGTCAAACTGAGATGTTGGCACTCCATTCCAGTGAATCAATAGCCTATCATTCAGTGTTTTTTCAGATGTGGCCATTCTCAGGTTGGAGGATAACATGTTGTACGTTGACACACATCTTTCCACCGTCATACTGTGAGGGCAGAGAACACAAAAACCTGACAAAAACTTGGTCACAGGTTGTTTGCTGCCCCTTAGCATTTGGTAGAGTCTCACACCATAGTCTCTTGCAGGAATATGTGTATCTGGAAGCATTTCCGTAAAATTTTCTAAAACTGCATCAATAAATGCTTGTTTATCACTGATTCCACTTGATTCAAGTTGAGGTAATGCAATGTTGATGAATTCAATTGCACGTTTTGCTGAGGTCAAGTTGATAATGGTTGTTACAATTTCTGTTTGTTCCTCGTTGAGCCTGGTCTAAACATGATAATGATATACATAAAAATATAGGTAATAGTAATTAAAAACTTTATATGGTGTGACCTGATTGCTAAACAGATATGAGATTACCTATTTATCTCATTTTACCTTGAGAAAATTCCTTGAAGAATCAATAACCTCTTGCCTGATAGGTTGTTTTCCTCTACGAAACGTTGTCACATTGGTGTTGTGTGTCCTTCTTGGTGTATTATCCACTGCTTCATCATTCTCTGGATGCAGTTCTGCAATCTTCTTTGTTAATAACTCCTCCTGCCCACCTATGTGCAGTAAAATAACATACAATGTAATGAAAAATACACCTTTGTTAAAGAACTCAAATAAGAGTGAGTTCAATTTGTTTTCTATAAACAAAGTAACTTACTAACTATATATATTTTACCTGGATATGGCTCTGTTTGCATTATATCAAGTTTTTGCAAGGCAGTATCTCTGTACTTCAAGATATCAGGAATGATAATGCCAGGCTTCTGGGCAATATATCTGAAGATACAGCATGTGTCCACCATAACAGCAGTTAGCCATGCTTGCACTCCTGTTGGTTGCCACAACTTTAAAAATCCTTTTGCAGACGATACCTCCTTGGTATTATATTCTCGAGGAGCATCACGAATCTTTTGCCAGTGCTTTAAACATCCATCTAAATTGAATAGTATCGCTCCACAAAGTTGAACAAGATGTTGAGCAAACCTTACCTCATGATGAGGAGGAAAACTTCTCATGTCTGGTTTTATGGTCTTCAACTCCTTAGTCCTTAGGCCTGATGTGCGGTAATAAGTAGCTACTCCCGTTACATTGGAAAGCCAGATTTTCAGTTCAGGTACCAACCTAAGACATTATAAATGTTAACATTAATATAGCCTTATAATTTATTTTTTTATCTTTTTTTGCTCAGGGCTTCACTTAAAATCTCTTTTGTGAGTGGACTTCCTAATGAAATATTGTAATCATTATTTTATTATTATTAATTTATTATTATTATTACCTCATCACATCTTCCATTGCTAAGTCTGATCGGTGACATGCACACCAGATATTTCTTGTTGAACGACCAACATAATTTTCAACTCTAGCCCACAGTCCAGAATCCTTACCAGTGTTTGCAGACTCTCCATCGGTGCTCATCCCAACAAATTTTGACTGCAAACATTCTTTAGAAAGGCCCATGTCATCAAAACAGTTTGTCATGGCAGAACACAAACCTTCAGCACCACGCTTGGTACTTTCCCTTGCACTTGCAAATCTTGTCTTAATAGAAAGAGGGTCCTCGGGTGTATTGAATCGAACAAATATAAATTTCTTATCTTGTTGCCTAGTATCGACAGAACCATCCATTTGTGCAGCAAAACAAATAGAGTTCTGGAGTTCTTCTCTAAGGTGCTTTCTCTCTGTATCTCGTATTATCTCCAACATTTCTGCATAATGCATTGGATCCCTATAATGAAGTTCCTCTCCACTTGGTTTAAACGGGGTAAAACTTTGTACGTTGTCACTGTCAGTTAAAGACCTAAACTGTTGTTGTGCATGTAAATTAGCAAGAGATCTACCTGGCCATGACCAGGCAGCTAAAGTCAAAGATTTACTGTCATTATAGACCTCTACTGCCATTTCAGTCAAGGTCTTCAAAACTGTTGGATCACTTTTTGTTGCCAAGTTAATAAATGGGTGACGTTTGTTTTTGGCATTCCACAACTTGGATAGCTGTTTCTTTTCTTGAGCTGCTCTATGTGAAGGCCCCAGTAGATGATCAATTACATCTTGTATCTTTTTCTTCCCATCACAACGCACACCTTGTGCCATGTACACTCTACCATTAGCTGAAAAGTGCTTTGCTTCCTCTTCGAATTCACCACAGATGCAACACTTGACAAAAACCCTAGCTTTCTGGCGATTCTGCGTTGAAACTCTACTTCGTTCATAATATTGAGATAGTACACCATCTCCAAATTTTCCTAGAAGTGCTTTTAGGTTTAATGGGTAGCCTCTGTAATATTCAGTAGTGGTTTCAGTAGTCATTTGCGTTGACGATGTGTTTGCTGTGCTTATTGGCAAACCAACGTCACTTGTTGTAACCAAAGTAATGCTGTTTATATTTGCAGAGCTTGTTGACGATAAGGTCGAAGGTGTAGTATTGCTTGGAATATTATTCGAAGGAGCCCGTGTATGAACAAATTGAACATTACCTTCCCTATCTGAATTTCGAATATCAAAATCCACTTCATTCAGTTCATTGTCTTTACAAGGTTCTCCTTGGTCAGTGCCTCCAGTAGCTGCAGTGCCTTGTACTTCGCTTTCCACTTCAATTGGCGCCATATTTAATAATTGTTCTGACTCCTTCTCAACGTTTGTATCGCACGATGTCGATGACGATGTTCTTGCATTTTCGTTCTTTGTGAAGAAATCCGATACCTTTTGGCATTTACTCGCTTCTTGTTTTAACAGTTTTTCAATATTCGCTTTTCTTTTATTTGCATACGGCATTTTTAATACTAATAGTACAAACAAAGGCAAGCAATTTGCATGTAAATTTTGATGTAAATTATGTTTTTGAAATTCCCAACTAAGCTTCCCGAATATTCCGAGATTTCCCCCAAAATCCCAATGTTCCCACTTTCGTTCCCAGTCCCACTTTGAAAAATATTTTTTTGCATATCGAAATTTCCTATTTGACTATTTTTCTATTTTTCATTGTCCAGAAAGGGAAGGCAAAGGAATAGCAGAGATTCTGCGAAAGGAATACTGGAATAAGGATTAATTATGTTGTCCAATATTGACTTTGGGAGTTATTTTCACACCAAAAAATATGAAAAGGGACTTTCTACTGGGGGGGACAAAATTGCCGACTGGGGGGGCAGTAAGGGGGGCTGGGGGGGCCATGTCCCCCCCAGTCTTTATGTTAAAAGAGGCCCTGATATTGCTTTTGTATTATACAATATACTGTAAACTTGCTGTTAACATATTATATTATTAATATTCATGGTTGTCAAATATCATAAAATCAACACACAAAATTCACACACAAAGGTTTAAAATAATGTATATTGGTATAAACGTTTAATAAAAATGCATACATACGTAAACCATGGTCGGCATGGAATTTTGTCACTTGGCACAGTACTTTAATGTTTTTTAATGTTTGTCCCACATTAAAATATATTGAGTCAATGACAGTGCAACTGTTCATATTAAACCGTTCTAATCACATTTTACATGCACATTTGTATTCAGTAGTAATCTTTTCATAAAGGTACATCAAAGTCCCAAATCAAATTCTTCACTGACAGTATGTTATTGACTCCCAAACGACAAATATTATAAAACGCGCTTCCAAGCTGAAAAGAAATATTTACTGTTGTCAGTCAGTGTTTAGACTCTTCTCTTTGAATCTTGATCTTCGACAAGTATTGCTGTTGATTATATTCCATATTTTTTTAAAGAATATCGCAGACTATATATTTATTTCCACTGTCAGTTGAAATTAAGTTTATCATCATAGTTTCAGTCGCAAAAGCAAGAATCGCCCCTTTGCACGGCCATGTTTGATAAAATCAAAGCGGCCTGCACCCCCGGTTTGAAAAGTTAAATATTCTGAAATATTCAAAATTTGAAGCATCACGTGACCAGCCTTTACCAGGGCCTTTGCTGCTTCGCCTCCTTCCTCAATAGGCCCTGGGGACGAGGTTGGTATGGGGTCCGCAAATCAATTAAATGCATGTATGCAAATTCTGTGGTAATAAAGATTTTTCGCATGTTTTTCCCCATATCATGCAAGCGTATTTTCTCGTAACTATGAGGGTATATAGTATTTTGATTCTCAATATAACTTGAGTTATTGTCACACTTCATTGTCAGTATTAAGTCGCGGTTGTATGTAATGCATTCGGGCAATTGATCAAAGCATTACCTAAGGAGGGAGTCTCAATATCAAATTTATGCCAATCTACACAACGCGAATTTAATTATTTTACTGTCGGCATTATTAGGCCGCGGGTGCTGGGACACCTTTTTTGCTTCCACTTAGGATTGCCTTAATTGTGATGTGTTTTTGTATCTGAGCGGAACGCTGGATACTATGCTATCGAGTTGTGTGTGTGCGTGCGTTAAACACTCAGGTCGCTTAATTAGGGCTGTACGCCCGCGAACAGGCCGTAAAACAAAGATGGCAGCTTTCTACAGAGTGACGAGGTATTTATTTTGCTCTGGCTGTGTATATAAGTCAAAATTCTCAGTTTAAATTAAAAAAAACTTTGTGCTATATCCTAGAAGATTGCCCAAAGTAACATCGTAAAGCATTTTCGTGACCTTGCATGCTTTTTTTAATAATATCGATTGTCTATTCATATAATTAATTTATACTGTATGGTATGTCAAAATCTTGTTTATACATACTGTATGGTACATTTTCTATACAGTCACAGCATTTAGAATTATTATGTTACGTTAAAATTTCATTATATGGTGCATTAGGCCATATAAAATAAATTCCTTGATTCTCATCGCTAAATTTTAAAAACTCCCAGGAGGCGGGAGGTTTATATTTTATATTTTATGTCAAAATATAAAAAAAAAGTTTAAAATTTAAAAAATTGGAGAGGGAGGTCTTTTTATATTTGCCCTTAAATATATTATAGAAGAACGCTATATAAGTGGATAATTGCACATGCGCTAATGAACATGCATAAGGGTTCACACAAATCGTTGTAATAAGGCTATAAGCCAATTTTTTCCTTCAGTATTCCAAGCATCCCTTAACATGTTGCAATATTAACGATAAAACAATTTTATATCGCAAAAATTCCAATATAAAATATAAAAATAACTAAATCTCTGAAGATGCTCGGTCGGGCGGTAAATTTATATTTTATAACAAAACACAAAAATATATCAACGCGGAAACCAAAATATCGTCGGGCGGTGATGAGAATCAAGGAATTTATTTTATATGGCCTTAGTCACAGGACATCTTGGAATTACAGGATTGCTTTACAGATTGTATGTTTCTATAGTTCACAGATTGTACGTATTTCTTTGTAGTTTTTTCATTTAGCATATACATTAATTAATTGTGGGTGCAGTATTTACCTCAGCAATTTTGTACCAATTTCATATGTAACTCTTATTCTGTTTTTATTATAAACAAAGGTGGCTTTCTGAGTGAGTTCTGACAGTTGATTGTGGTAGATAAGAGACTGCAATCTGAACATTCTTTGTCATATCATTAAATATAAACAAAGTGACTGTACAGCCGGCAGCCGCGGGTATTTAGTAAACCGCCGGCTATATAGTGACTATAGTTAAATATCGCTAGTTGCGACCGTACGCGAGGGTCGCATCGCGAACATTGCGATATGATATGAAGTTTCCTCAAGTATTTGCAGTGTTTTCTGCACAATCTAGCGGCACTTCTGACAATAAAGATGACTTAAAATAATGCCAGTGATGATCGGGGTCGAAACTCCACAAACATATAGGCTACCACCATAAAAACTGAAATTTGAACGTGAATTTTGTGAAAACATCGGATGATAGTACTAAAATTTCACCGGACGAATTTTGACAAACATTTTCAAATTAATACCAACAAATCATAACCAGTAATTACCTAAATATCTTTGCCAATTTTACATGTAATAATCCACGCTTTGTTGACCATTAACCAACACAGTTAAAATAGTATATCAAACATAATTTATATTTTGTAATTTTAATTATACGAAATTCATGTACACGCTAGATGTGATAATTGTTCACGCGTCACATCTCTGAAAAATCGCCAAAATTAAACCAACCATCTCCCTTTTCCTTCGGTAAATTGTTTTAAGACTTTGCACATTTTTTAATATCAGTACAACAAGTGCATTATCCTTTTTTTTTTAATTCTATCGAAGGGAAAAGTTTTAATGCGGACTTCTATGATCTGGTTTTCTGCACTTCACTCGATAATATTAGAATGCTGTTTTTAGGGTTTGTAATCCAAGTGATACATGAACTTAGGGTTGACTTAATTTATAGGCATTGTTTCGACGAATGCTCTAGTTTTTAGCCATGCATATAATAAAAATAGACTTATCGACTTAGCTTGTTCACCCGGTTAGTAGAATATAGATCTCGTTGTCAGACTCGTTCTGTTTTCGTTGTATATGGGTCTCACCTATACGGCTCGAAAATGGAACGGAAAATCTTATGCTTTTGGACTCGCATTCACGAACTAAAACTTCTGACTCGCTTGCTATACAGACTCGTTCGCTGCATTACCATTGGCTTTGCAACATATATGGTCTCAACCTCGTCTAATTAGGAAACTTTGAGACACTCGGAATACAGCCATTTCAATTAAGGTTGTCCACGAGCAAAGCGGAAAAGTCGAATACGAGCGCGAAAGGCAGCTGGGAATCGCTTTGAAAATTCATTAATTTGTTAGCGATTCCCAGCAGACTTTCGCGCTCGTATTCGACTTTTCCGCTTTGCCGTGGACAACTTTAATTGAAATAGCTGTATATCCCTGAAGAGCAGATCGTAAATGACAAAAGAAAACACAACAAAGGGTTTTTATAATAAACTTTATTCAGCATAACTTTGAAAGATACAAAATGAAGCATTGTTACTTAATTCAGCGTGTGTCTCAATGCAATTCCCTAGCTATAATCATTACTTATTTAATATACTTAATACAATATACTTATCAATTATTAGTCTTTCCTCCATTATCGTTTTTGTCGTTTTAGATCTGAAAATATAAAAATAAGAATAATACCAAAAAATACTTACAAATTTGAACAACTATTCCGTGCACCTATTTTGATTTTACGGACATTTAGTGCATGCTTTATTAATTAATTAAGTACATATGTCTGATTTTTTAGGTGCCAACTGTTATTTTTGCTACATTCATAATGCCCGAAAATTAGTCTATTGTGGTCCTATTACAGGTATTAGAGAGTTTAAGTTCGACTTCCAATACCAATGCATCTCTGCTCGCAAGAAGCACGAGGACAAGTGTGTTGGAAGTCACCACTACCGAAGTGAGCCTTGTATTGGAAGTCGGGGGAATTGTAAGATAAACTCATATAAATCGGATATTTCATAATTTTTACGATAAACATGTAAACTATTTGTTTATTAGCATCGCCTGAGTCATGTTTTAGTCGGAATTTTAGCTCAGCTGCCGTTTAGTATACCGCACATTTTCGGTGACGATTAATGTGTTCTATACTTTATCTGTCGTGATAACTTAACACTTTAAAATTCCTGGTACCAAAATGAGAACGGAAGTGAAAACATCGGTATCGGTACTGGTATCGGAAGTCGAACTTAAACTCTCTATTATTTCGAACAGTACCGGATTGGAAAACGCACTGGAATCTAATACATGATTGACTCATGAAGCCGGACGAATTTGAGGATTACATACTATCGACCGTGAAAACACCGTTTGAACGAATGAAATTAAATCAAGTGATTTTGTGTACGGGTCTGAATTTTTGAGGCTATACTCATTATGCCACGTTTGCAATACATACAAATGAAAGTTATCGAAACCGTCAAAAATATATGATTTTCCATTATTTTTGGTGAAATTTAACGCCATCGACATGCGTAGTATATCATAGTGCACTATTTAAAACACGCAAGCAGGAATGCTTTATCAGATATAAAACACGAGAGCACAGATCTAGATTGAGTGTTTTATATCTGATAACGCATGAACTGTGAGTGTTTTAAATGGCTTGAAATACGACGGATCTGATGAGCACATTAGCAAGGTAATTTTTAAAATAAACTTCAAATGTCTTTTATGTAAACGAACATGATTTTTTTATCACATATGAAACCACCGACACGGCAGTGATTTCATTTGTCTTTTCTTCATGAATTATAAATGACTTTTTAAAATTTTCTATCAATGCCATTTCAAACGACCATATTCAAAGCTTTAAATTTTAGCCTATATACAATGCCATATATGCGGCAAAAAGGCTTGATAAAATTGCGATCTAATGGCAGAAAATATTAATATACGGTACGAAATTGCGATAAATAACATTTAAAGTGATCTAAAGTGATCCAATGCTCATCTTCCTTCGCATGCAGCAACATCATAGCGAATTAACCTTCAAAAACTCATTAATAATTCATGAAGCAATTATCGAATCTTGAGTAAGAAATTAGTCACGTGCATACGTCTTTATACCAGCTAAAAAACACTTTAACAAAAGACCATTGTTGTGCAAACTACATAAAGATTTTTATATAAAGATATGACTTATTAGGCAAACGTTTTTGAAGCCATTTAAAAAACACGCAGGTCGTGTTTTATTAGGTCTAATGCCACTCGAGCTGCGCGCTCGTGGTTTTAAACCTAATAAAACTCTCCTGCTCGTTTTTTAAATAGTACTTTAACATCTATATACCTGCGCAATTTATTTATTATAACCAATCACCGAAAGCGAAATGGTTATCGGTAAATATTCAAAGAGGCGAAGTCGAGGAGAACATTGACCAATAATCTGAGTCTTAGCGGAAAATTGTTTAGTAGAAATTTTTGAACGAAATTAATAAACAAAATATCAAAATATCAGTTTAATTAATAATCAACAAATTCTGCTGCATGACCCATGTCAGTATTGTCAGTCGCAAAAATAAAAAAAATAAATTACTTGACTTAATTTTCCGACCAATACAATTAATTATTTCCCGTTATATACACATTCCAAAATTTAAGTCGATAGAGAGACGGGAAGGGGTGGGGGGGGGATGTCGGTGGAGAGTATCCTGAATACGTATTATATTATTTCTATTTCGAGAATTTAAATACTCACCGTTTCGTCCGTTTAATCATTAGTCCGATTTTTAACTTGGACCCCGTTTGTGAGAGGTCCGTGTACGCTTGTGAGAGATCCGTGTACGTTTGTAAGCGCCCTAAAAAGGAAATTATGTATCAACATACCAGGATTATATTAACAAAATAAGAACTAGCTGCTTAGGTATCTCGAAAATCTGCGGGCTTACAAATCGAAAGCGTTTTAGAGTATAGGCAATTATAGTTTTTTTTGCACATTGTAAACATAACAAATGCAACACGTTGATTGGTCAAAAATTTGACGTATTAAGCTCTTATATTCACCTACAGGTGAATATAACAAAAAAAGAAATTTTTAAAATGGCGGCTAGCCGTTTTGTGGAAGTTACTTATGAAAAAATAAGCGAAATTAAAATAAATTCAGTCCCAAATTGGGCCAAAAACACAAAAGATTTGCGTAAAAATACTAAAACAATTATTCGCCTCAGGCTCGGTGATTATCGGGGAATATTCACCTCGACTTCGTCTCAGCGAATATTCCCCGATAATCACATCGCCTTCTGCGAATAATTGTTAAATGTGGTGTTTTCCACAAACCATCGCCAACTTTTGCGGTCACGCAGTGTCAAACACTTTGAAATGCTATGCTGAGTTGTTATATTACTACCTTAAAAAAAAGCAGAAACTCGACTTTTCGAGCGAAGGCCCTTCGTCAAGAGTTAGTGGCGGTATTAGTTAGTATTTGGCTACTAACTCTTGACGAAGGGCCTTCGCTCGAAACGTCGAGTTTCTGCTTATTTTTTAAGGTAGTAATATAACCACTCAGCACAGCATTTCTACATTGGTACTACCTACACTGGTACAGACAGTTTTAGTATATCAAACACTTTGAACAGCGCAACTTCTCGCCTATTTACACATACTGTATATACGCGATTATATAAACCCGAGCGAGACGTGGAGAAAACCTAGCCATTTCGTGCATGGCCAAGAGAAACCTTGTGTCTTTTTTTAACAATGTTCAAAAATACGGTATTGATGAATACATGCATATACTGTATGGCACCTAGTAGTTTAAAAACTCTAATTTTAAGCAACCAGCAGGAGATCACGACAAGCAGAAGAATATATGACCAGCTAAAGTAAAATGTCTATGGTTTAACTGCTGGTAGGAATGACTGTACGTGTTTCTCGTATTCCACAAATGTTTGCAGCTTTAATGTACTATATATTTAAAACATAAGCAGCAGTGTTCTATCGTAAAGAAACGAGTATCTTTATCTTTAGTATAAGTTCATTGGCGAAGTAATTTTCAAAAATATTACGTTGTGTAAGTCGAAAAAATCATAGTTAAAGTTGTAAATCAAGGGAAATCTCTATCACATTTTAAGATACGAAACACCTATTAATTTTTCTTTGAGTTTTCCTCATGAAATTAAAAATGAGTTTTAAAAACTACAAATCGAGGTGTTCGTTTAGATATCAAATATATATGAAACACATTTGGAGTGCGTTTTGCCCCAAAACTGGAGAATGAAATCGTGCAAAAAAATTGCCAACGTGACCAAATATTTATGGTGTGCAAGTGCTCATAGAAGGTATGGTATTTGCTAGACGATCAATAAAAGATCACATGGTAAACGAATGAATTGTGGCCGTGTTTGTACATATAAGTATATTTGTTATATAGCTAGTGTGAACACCAAACGTGATTGGCTGATTTGTAGTCACGTGGCTTTAGATAAATGCAATGTATCCCACCCGGGCAATAAGTGAAAAATTGTTGCCCGCCCCGACCGGCTACGTACATAAATAAACAAAATGGCGGCACAAATTTATACTATTTAAACTACTGTTTTCGTGGCTTTATGTTAAAATAAAGAATGTAAAAGAGAAGAAAAATACATAACAGGCAACAGGATATGCTGCTGAAACCATTTAATTAATTAAGTAGGTTTTTAAAATTTTAAACTCGTTTACGCTATAGAGTTTTTGTCATGAAATACAAATATTGTTGTATGAATGTTGTTCAATGTTGATATTTGTTTCGTCACTATATAACAAAACACTTAACGTCTTTTCCCTCGGGAAATAGTTAGTTTTGCTTTCCCTCGAATCTCAATGTTTCTCTCGACTTCGTCTCGGGAAACATTGAGATTCTTGGGAAAACAAAACTATTTCCCTCGGGTGCAGACATTAAGTGTATAATATTCCTGGATCCAGCTCGTTCAGAATATTGTAAATCCTGAAAGGAAAGTTAAGGCGAGGTTTCAAGTTCTGTTTTCTTCAACAGTTCTGTTCGTATACGATTTACGAATACTAGTCCATTTGTACAAATGAAAGTATCGAAATAATGTATTGCCAATTCCACGTTTTATTTCCCATTCCTATGTATTTTTTGCTGAGCTGTTCTCTGAATTTATAATGACCTCGTGAGGATATTCTCTTAGCTTGCCCATTGTAGGCTCGAAGTCCTCCGAATAGTTGGCGAAGCCAAACACATTTGAAAAACAAGAAAAATAACGTGCAGGAAGTGCCCTTTGACCATAAATTTAAGGTCTGCAGCCTTAATTAACGCTTGTGAGATGGGACATTTTTAAAGCCCATGTAGTTTGGCAACAAAATGATACTAACCTTGCATTTTCCCGTGCATTTTATCCAATTTATTCGACATTGTGATATCGATGCTCCTCTTCTGTTGGTTCTGTAGCACGTTCTAGCCAATGCTGAACATTCTTTCTGAAATGGTCCAAAACAGCTTATTAACACAAATTAAATTAACACAATTAATTACGGTAATACTCGAAATGGCTGTTTTGGTTGCGTGAAAAAGAGGCTTGTATGACAAGGGGATAAATGCATTTGCCTATATTGTCTAGTGACTTGTTAAGTATATTCGCTTTCCACTAGATAGCCCTCTTGGTTTTAAATGTTGTCTCTTGAGGACTAGTTGTCACATATATCTCATTACTTCTAATTTCTACTATACTAGGATGTATTACCCAGCAAAACTTGCAGTATTTTAGTGTCAAAAACGAAGGACATCTTGTAATCAGATATTGTATTCATCAGCATAAAAAAACCTCCAGATCTCCATTTTCTGGAGGTATAACAACTTAGCCTTAAAAATATTACTTTTTAATTGTCAGAGTGCTTTGAACAGAGAGACTAATGAGATTGAACTGCTAAAAAATGTTAAAATCCACCTTAGCAACACAGAAAAAATGCCGTATAATTCAATTATATTGAATTTATGCGTAGCGCAATTTCTGTGCCGTCGCATAACCAGTTAACCCTCGCCAGAAATTAAACTTTATTGATATTTCCATATTCTGAAATTTCTGGAAATGGTATAATATTGAAAAAAGGTACACACTCAGAAGTAACGCAATTACTTTCTTCAAAATGTTACTTAAAAAGTGATTAGTATAAGTAATAGCATGCATGGTTTCGAGTGCAATTTGAATATAAAGGCCCTGTCACACTATAGCGTATCGTACTAGCGTATGCCAGCGTATGAAAAACATCACTCATACGCTGGTATACGCTGACATACGCTAGGGGTACGTTAGGCATAGGTTGTATACGTTTCAAGCACGGTCGCATACGATGGCATACGGCGAGGCGGAAAATTTTTTTAAGCATGTTCAAAAATTTTGTGCGTATCGGACGTATGCTTTATACGATAAGCATACTCTAGGCACACGTTGAATATGCTAGAGGTACGCCAGATGTACGGTACTCGTACGCAGGCATTTCAAAGAATTTTTGTGCGTATGAAAATTATTTCATTAATTTTCATACGCTTCTCATATGTTTCTCTCATAAGCAATAGTGTGACAGGGCCTTAACATGCACGAGTGAGTTTTCCAAAAACCTCAAAGTAGCACCAGTCGGAAGGACGAGTGCTATTTGAGGTCTTTGAAAAACTCACGAGCGCATGTTTATCCAAATTTCACGAGAAACCATGTTATTACTTATTCTTAATTTACATAAAAATGTTCGAGACAATTGTAGTTTTAACAGTTACGTTTATAGCGAACATTCCACTGGCAAAGTTTTCCTGGCTTTGTTATATCAAATTATACAACGCTAACAGCTTGAAAATTCCACTCAATTTATATGTAAGTTTTGTTTGTCTTGTCTAAGATGAAGGCTTTTCCATTTAAAAAACCCCGATAAAACCATATTTCCAACCGAAGTCAAATTTTACTTTATGTAGCGCGGCGCCGTCGCGCCGTGTTTGTTTTGTTTTGAAGCAATCTGTGAAATTGCTTCTTTAAACTAAACTGCTTTAAACTGAATGGTCGATTTTATCATCACATTGTTTTTCCACCAATCAGATCAGTTTGTTACAGATTTTTGCACTGTGATTACAGAAATTGCATTGTAATCACAGGAAATTGAACTGTTGTTTGGGAGTAATTGCATGCATTGAAATCAACCAATCACAGTCGAGTATATAATATTCTTATATATATTATTAATTACGTTACAAAATTACTTGTGTGGAACAAGTAATTAGTTACAGAAAACTTACTAATTTAAACTTACACTGATTTTTGATAATTCTAATATTGAAGTTGAATGTATTAGAAAACCTTACCACGCATGTTATGAATTTGTTTCTTTGGGGAGAAATAGGATGGCGCCCTTTACGCTTGTCTTCCTGAATAAGTTAAATAAAGAATGAGACATTTCATATTAGTTTTTGGCATTACTTTTGTAAACGAGAATATTTTTAAACAGGAAATTATGTTTAGCGACATTGCAAACGTTTTTCTGAATTTTGTATGATGGACCGTACTTTTCCTTTCCTTTTCCGTTGATCAGGCGGCTTTACGACGGGAGTTACGGATTTCTAAAATAGAAATTATGTGATATGAATATATTATACAGGATTTAAATTGAGTTGTTAATTGGGGACAATTATTTGACACTGAGAACATATGGGCGTAAGTTTATTTGAATTAAATAGTGCAATTAATAAATGATATTGTTGGTAATTTTCCCTCTATCGTGGTCTTGTTTCTAAAGAACCGTTTGATGGTGGGTCCAACTGATGGTTAACAGTAACGATGGATATTTGAAAGGTTCGCCAACATTGCATGCCGAGCCAATTAGACAAGTGCAATTTGGCAAAATTTACCAACATCGCAACTATTGTTGATATTTAATTATCTCCTGTCCAACAAACAGTGAATTCTCAGCTGAGGAGAAACCGCTGCGAACAAACAAACGATTTTCTATTATTTTTATCACTATTTAAAATTTTTGGGGCAGTAAATTCCAGCCTGCATGCAAAGCTTCATTAATTACACTGGCGTCCCTCGAATTATATAGCTTTGACAAAATATATATTTCTTCAAATTGTCGAATTTTTCTATAATGTGGAATGTCTAGTTGTGCTTCAATTGCGAGTGGTTTTTAAAACATCTTCATGACTAATTTATCACATATTTATTATATTGTTTCAGCATAATATAGTATTACCATAACAAAACAAAAACGACCAAACTACAACGACAATATATTTTTTTTAAATTGTTGATTACAGCTCCCACAAAGCAATTAGTTATTAATTCTATTTATTAGAATTAGCTTCAATGAGCACAGCTACACACTGATAAATTAAACAGAAGTTTTTGGATTTCTTGTGTTTCGCGAAACATAAGCTTCGTTCAATACAAACAATTGCTCGTCTGTAACCGGAAAGAAACGGGAAGCCATAGTGCAAGAATATCCGGAGCTGAGCGACAAATCAAATTGCGTCAAAAGCATTATCCACCTCCCAAGTATATGCTAAACGGTTGGAAATGGTGTATTGTGATTGGATACTCTACTCGCTATCTATTCCATGTAGATAGCGAGTATAGCAAAACAATAATTTCCCTGGCGCATTTAAAAAAATGGTCTATTATCAAATTATTGAAATATATGTGGAATGATTTATGTTTGATCTCTAGATCTGATTCTACTAAAACAACTAAACTACTCGCTTTCGATTTCTATAAGGTGATAGTTGATTCGGGATTCGTCCTCATCAACTATCAACTCGTAGAAATATCGAGGACATAATCCAATTGTTAATTACTGTATATATCTATAATGTGATGTTTTGGTGCATGACTCGCATTTTACCAGCAGTGGGAAAAATTTGGGCATGCCTAAACCAAGGAACATGTCGAACCTCCTCGCAGTGGATTCCTTCAAGTCACGGATAGCAGAGTATAATTCTCCAAGCGATATCATATTTGCATGACAGCATTACGAATTTACCCACATATGAATATCAACATACACTTTACTGTCCTAATCCTTGAAAACGGTAACTCTGGAATACTTTTGCATTATTTTTTTTATATTTATATCGATTTTTCAGTAATAATATTCTTTCAGTACGTTAGGTTGACATGCTTAGTAGGCTAACATCTCAGGTGGTCAATGAAAAATGATTTGATTTGCAAAATGAATTTAATTTTTTGCATGGGGCCAATTATCATCCACAATTATAGCGTGTATTATCCAGTTAACGACAAAGTTTGTCATAAAAAAGAATTACGTCAGACCTTGCATTTCGCTCGACAAGCTTCCTTCAGCTTCAAGCACGCAACGCTTCTCGTATTCTTCAAGCATTGAAACAGCTTCTCTGTACAATTTTTCTGTTAAAACAAACATTTAGGTTAGCACACCACGGCAGGCGGAACATTTCTAAAAGCTATATATACTTTCGGGAAATAAGATATTCGTAATACGTCAATTGGTTTGGCACAATAATTATAAGGTATATGAATATCACTTTCAGTTATTTTCGAATACTTAAGAATAATTATTTTTTTGAACGCAGGTTCTTCGTTCGGAAGTTAGACGCGGAGGATTGCAGGCTCAGGAATCGAGATTGGTAGAAATACTTATTTTGAATTTTTCAATATATATTTATGTTATTTACGGCCGGTTAGGAGGTCCTTACTGAAAAATATTTTCCCGAGACCGAAAGTCGAGGGACGCTTCTGAGACAGAAGGAAAATATTTTTCGAATATGGGCCGACTTTATTTATAATCTTGCACGATGCTTAATGAAATACCTAAAAATTCTCCAGTGTAGCGAACTAGATTTGCGATCAATTGTGTTTGTTTATTTTTAAGTACTTTTGGACACGATAAAAAAACCTTAAATGTTCTTTCGACAGGCAGAAACAAATTGTACATGCCGAAAACAATGACAGTATTTAAAAAAAGTAATTATATGACTGAAATGAATCTAACAATCATGTTTAAACTGCCGTTTAAGGTATTTTTAAAAACTTTTGTGTATGAGGGTAAGTCCTGGTTTTCAGTATTTATATTTTAACGTATATTTTTCGATATATAGCTGAATGTATGCTGAGCTTTTGACACTAAACATTTGGCACTGATTTTTCGATACTTATACGTAAAGATGCAGTAAAGTCCGTTCTGCGCATATATTCTGCGGATCAAAACATTCCATCAGTGGCGGAGCAACCTTTGGAATGTTGTTAATATTTCGCACCTTCCGAAATTTCTTGAATTGAATCTCTAGTCTGATTCATTTACAAGCATAACGAACCAGAAAAGTGTTAAAAATTCAGTATAATATATATCTAATCATATTTTACACTGAGTTCAAAATGTAAACAAAGCGTTTGTTTACATTACGGACTTTACATCATCTTTAAAGAAATACTTGTCTTTTCGCATTTAGGTCGGAAAAAAGTACATTTCGGGCTTGACACTAAATTCATTGAAATCTATTCTGCTTAATTTTCTACAGTATCGATAGGGAGGGCTTATCAGCTTTTTGGATTGTCTTTTTGAGTTTCAAAATGGTCTTCACTCTTCGGTTTGTTTTGCCGCGAAACATGAGAGGTCCGTAACGTGTGCGAGAGGCCCGTATCGTGTGATACGGACCTCTCGTCAACCAATCAGAAAGCTCCATTTACGTTACGAACCTGGGATTACGGACCGAAAAAAAAATGGATATCATTCCCACGCGCATTTCACGCTGTATGCTTGACCAATAAGGAGCACCGGAAATTTAAAAAATAAGTTATGTTTAGATAGCCGGATACACAGTTTTCGGCATTTCCAGACAAACATCGCATTGTTTTGAAAGATGAAATTGTATTTTCGGTACAGATTCGGACCAGAAATTGAAATACCGTAAGAAAGCATACATACAAGCTTGCAAATTACATTCTAAATAGTGTATGTCAGGCCAATGACTCCAACAAGGCTATTACATAGACGATGATGTCGCAAGGGGCGAAAGCAATGTTAGGCGAAAGGTATGGCTATAGTTATGGTATATTTATGGAGTGATATTGCACAATTTGATAATATAAATTTCAAATGGCATAAATCGCTATAATGTTGACATTTGACTAAAACTATGCATAGAAATTAGGTGATATTGTGCCCCTGAACAGAACGGTGTAACTTTCATCTACCCAGCATGCACTGAGCATAATAGATGAACTCTAAAGTCGTAAATTTTTTGTTTCAACCAAATCCATCTGATTGGTTTATTTTTGTCACGTGAACGTTTTTTATATTCGCTAGTATGAAAACTCGTTTAATTTTTTGTGTTACCTACACTGGCATATAGACCGTTCTAGATTATTTTTTATTCCATATGTCAAATTTTAAACTTTTCTAATGATCTGGCGCAGCATCATTTCCCATTTTCGCTCACACAGCACACTAAACGATAACTCGAGGGAGAGGGGATGGGGTGAAGGGGGTGGGGTAGGGCGAGGGTTTGTTGAACGAACAAATTCAATTGCATGGATTATCCAAAGACCATACTGTATATAGGTGAGGAATTGGTTTGATTCCAAACCTTCAATTGATCGTAGAGGAAAATTAAAAACTACCAATCAGAGAATGATATTCCGACATAAATTAACAAACCCGCCCCATATAGTCGTCTGGAATTGTTTTCCGTTAAATCAAACCTTCGTCTAACTGGTTAATGTCTCAGGACAGCTAAAAAAAATTCAAATTAATACTTTCGTTTTAAACATACCAAACAATCCCGAACAGTCAACGTGATATTCTTGGAAGGACTCTATACAATAAAATATTCAAAATAACCATTTTTGTATCGATAAAAAAATCACAATCAAGAAATATCTTTAGTCGTATAATTTATACACAATAGGAAACTTTGAAATTTGAATAAAATTCAACGGTCTTCCGCCTTTCCACTTCATAATTTCCCTCAATAAGGAAATGCACATGAAATGTTAATTATATAATAACGGTAGGATATTAGACTGACATGCAGATTTTAAAGTGCTTATGTCACAAAATTTTTTTAATTATTTTTGAGTAGAGGACAAAAAGTTAGTTAATAGGTTCTTTAAAATTTTTCGGTTTTCTCTTTTCATTCACGAGATATGAGGCTCTAAACAGCGATTTTCGTAAAAATGTCGCGTATCAAAAAGAGTCTGGGACGAGCCTGGTGCGACGTAGCTCAAGGAACTTAATCACGACGGGCATTATACATTTCTTTATACCAGTCACGAAATTGGAACTCTAGAAGCAGTTGATAGCGAAATTTTAGGCGATTATGATGCATATTGCCTATATGCTGATGAATCGCGAGCGAGCCAAGAATGCTACGCGCGATATCTAAAACGAGATGCTACAACGAAGATTAGACGGCCTTGAAGATATTAAATCATGGTGAGCGTAAACATAGCTTTATTTAACATTTTAACGTAAAATGAGTATCTCTGGCTAATATATTTTTGATACGGCATCAGTCACATCAAACCGCTCAAACCACACTTCCCTCACCTGTATCATATTTCACAAGTGTAAATGCGGTGATTGTGTGATAATACGTATACAATATACACACGAAGCTTGGTGCTGTCAGGAGATGGAATCTTGTAGGGAAGTTCTGAAGAATAACTTGGTTTTAGAAGATGTGCCACAGCTGCCGTGCTGTATCACTCTACACACTCGGGATTCAGACCTATTTGTTTGGAAAAATGGGCTCTATTTGATCGTGTGTCTTGTATTTTCTTGCGAAGGTGATGGAAGTGTGGTTTTATCTCTTTGATGTGACTGATTCCGTATGAGCCCCTATCACGCAAAATATATCAGCCAGAGATACTTATTTTACGTTAAAATGTTAAAATAAATCTATGTTTACACTCACCATAATTTAATATATTCAAGACCGTCTATCTTCGCTGTAGCATCTCGTTTTGTTCCTTGTGTTCCGCATATTTTTTAGATATCGCGCGTCGCATTCTTGGCTCGCTAGCGGTTCACCGGCATAAAGGCATGCATCATAAGCGCCTAAAATTTCGCTATCAACTGCTTCTGGAGTTCCAATTTCGTGACTAGTATAATTTGATTCATCCTCTATATAATATACCCAGGAATATAATGGTATTCTGAGTCACATTGAGAACCACGAGTGTTGGAAAACATATATCTTCACCAATAGCTTTTTAGTACTCCTTCACATGTGAATTCGAACTTCCGTCCCTTAAGGTACGTCACACGGCTGTCGCCCAAGACCATTTTCCGTTTTTTTCTCGGGCGCGACAATTTTTCGCTAAAAGCCAATTTTTCAAGGTTTAGAGCCGCATATCTCGCGAATGAAAAGAGAAAACCGAAAAATGTTAAAGAACCTATTATCTAACTTTTTGTCCTCTACTCAAATGTCAAAAACATTTTTTGTGACACCGATGACCTTGACCTTGGCAGGGGTCAAGAAAAGTTTAGAATTACCCATTTTCACAAGAACAGACTGCGAGGTGGTGATCGAAACACGGTGTCATGGCGTGTTGGATACCTGAATAACTAGGAGAATTCTGGGGCAAACACCTCCGGAAAATTATTAATTGGCCATTTCCTGCGTTTTAAGAGTGAAATTTGGTTTTGCCTTACTATATCTGTATAGGTTCTTAAATTATAACTATTTTTCACAAACGCAATTTTAGAACTGTATAAATATAGCTTTTGTGATGTAAGTCTCTTGATTACGAAAGTAACAAAATTCTGAGATAAAGACGAACAATATTTGCCTCGAATACACTGGCATTAATTTAAAAGACATGGAAAATAAATCATTTTGGATCCGTTTTTTACTACCGATGGTCCAGGGGGTCATCATAAGGCCTCCCATCCAATAATTGAAAATGGGCAATATAAATATGTGACACGTATTTCACCATGCATCTATTATATATATTAAGAAAACCATGTGTGTACTACCGATCTCATTAAGTAAGCTGAACTTACCTTCTTGCAATCTTGAAGACAAGCTTTTAATTTCCGTATGCATTCACCGCGGGTAGAATCACCACCATTCATACAATCAGTTAAGTCAGCATAGCACTTTTCCTTTAAAATCGAGGAAAGGTTTTTGATGCTCGTCAGCTAGGCATATGAACATTGTGTCATTATGACGAGTGCAAAATACTTACCCAACAATTCTTCCCGTCTTTTCTTCCCTGATGTTTTCTTCCACGATCACCGCCTCTATCTTTTCCACCTTTATCGCCATCATCCTTGTCGATTCTATTTTTATTATCGTCCTTACCACTCTTTCCCCGACAACGTTTTGTCCCTCTACAACGATCTTTTCTTCCACCGACTCTATCATCATCATCCTTATCGTAATCATCTTCGCCATCCCGGCCGTTCTAGTTGGTAAATAATAATGAAGCTTAATGGATAAATCCTTTCTTAAACATTCCTATTGTTCTTGGCAAAAAGTCATAGGCGGATGGAGTGCATGGAACGTACACTTAAAAAATTAAACTTGCACTTAAAAAATGCAACGAGATCCTGCATACAAGTTTTGTTCTGTAAATATTTTTTGATACGATGTTTAATGATATGTAAAGATGAGTTCATCTCGAACGCTTGGTCCAAGTTAACGGTCGTCGGTAATTATAATTAATAGAAATGAAACACAAATAATTAAAAATGATATGTATCACTGGTACGTATTTCTTTTTGTTGTTTGTGAGCGGGAAGTGTTGTACTGTATATAGATGTCACGGATATGACCAAAAACCATTAAGATAAAACAAATCCTCAACAAAACAAGTACAAGTCAGACCTTGCATTTCCTTCCACAACATTTTTTCTGCTTCACGCACACAACGCTTTGTGTATTCTCATTCCCCAGACAATCAAACAGTTTCTCTGTGCAGTTTTTCTGTAAAAAAGAACATAGTTAGAACACATTGCGCAACATTTTTAAAATTTTTTATATTCTGAAAAATGTGAAAATAAACTTCTGCAACAAGTCAAATGGTTTGAAATAATATAAGGTTTAATTTGTGAATATAACTTTCAATAATTCAACGAATTCAGCTTTTTATTCTATATCTCAAATTTTAGAGTTTTGAACTGATCTGCAGCGAAGACATTGTTTGCTAAACATTGTTTGGTCGTCACGCATGGCGCAAATAGTTTAAAATAATATAAGGAACGTAAATACAACTTTCAGTTTTTTCGAATATTCATTTGATTAATTTAAATTTCCACATCTCAAATTTCGACTTCTCACTGTTCGGTCACACAGCACACTAAAGGATGACATGGACAGACAGGTCGCGAGGAGAGATTTTATCTTGTGGATCATCCAAAAATCTTGTAGAGAAGAATTGATTTCATTTCACTCAACTGTATGCATGGAGGAAAACTAAAACTGTCCAATCAGGAAACGATATTTCCACATAAATTTACAAATCAGACAAAGTTATTTCCTTGCACGGTGACTATAGCGAGGTGATATCGATTGGTGCGGCCACTATATCCCGGCCACGAACAGTCGTCTAAAATTGTATTCCGTTTGAAGTTTAGAGGGATCCCGCAACCTAACCCTGAAACATGTCGCCCCGTGTTATCAAACCTTCATTTCGCGCTAATCTAAAGACGAAAAATACAACTCGTCTCATAGGACAGCAAAAGAAGATGGAAAATAATATTATTGTTTTAAACATACCCAACATTCCTGAGCAGCTAAGGTACTATTCCTGGAACGATTCTATATAAACAACATATTCCTAATCACCGTTTTTATATTCATGAGTATCATCACTTGTATAATTTAAACACATTAGGAAAATTTAAAAATTTCGGTTATCGTTCCATGTTTCGCCCACCAACATAGGTTAGGGTTAGGTTATTGTTATAGCTAGGTTTAGGGCAACCTCGTTCCCAGGCTCTTTGCTCTTGTGAAGCAAAGACCCTGGTCGAGGCTGGTCACGTGACCCATAGAAAATTGATAACCTAAGAGGGGGATGGAGAAGTATCAAATTACATGTTTCCACTTCTGCACCTCACACTTCGATTGCAAGGAGTGACCGTTCTATACAATCATCTTTGAGAATCATATATACTTCAAAATACTTTCTAAATTGGTTTCTGTTTGCTTTTAAATTATACAAACATGCTAAACTGTAGATTCTTATAGCAACAAACAAGTCAGAAAATCAAGCAACGAAAACGTATGATCGTATATGCTTGGAAATATTTGCCCTTTTATTGTCTCGCGGGGTTAGGGCGCAGTTTCATTTCACGCGTACGTTTCTGTATCTGGCTCAGATACGTATAATATTCTTATAATGTGCCACTGAATTGTTGTCATATGGAAACGGTATAAATTTTGTTAAATAGAGGTCTCAAAAGCGACTGTGTAGGTCGTAGGCGTAGCGCCTTGTTGGCCCTACTGTCAGCAAACATTACATATTTGGACACTAGCCAAATAGACATTGAATATCCATTCTATTGATTCTAAAACGGTTTATAGACATAGTGCTAGATTTTTTTAAAAAGGTTCTCATCGTTTATATTCAACACAAAGTAGGAAGGAGTGTTAACGTACATGTACAAAATTGTTTGGGATCAACAGTAAAGAATTATACGACAATTCACAACTGTATGCATTTCCTTTTTTGTCTGCACGAGTACCTGTTTGTTGAAGCCAAAATCACTAAATCAGATTGCACAGAATCTCCGATATGAATTATATAGCCATTCACCCTCGCCCCTTGAATGCAAAGGAATGATAGCCGAAAAGGTTTAGCAAAGTATTTTTTATTATATCTGGTATAAAGTGTCCCTATGTTTTATCAGGGTATATATACATAATTCATAAACTGTATATATGCGCACGAAGTCCAGCTCATAGAATTACTTAATTAATGAGCTTTAATAAGCCTTTTAAAGTTTCCATTGATAGATAGGTTGTTTGCCTCTAGTATGGTTTGGTGAAACTGCTAAAATGTCATTTATACAGTATACGATAAAGATTATTTAAAGTTGATTTAAATATTGATGACTCACAGCAGCATTATACAAGTCGAAAGAAGCTGTCGGGTTATTCTTCAAATATAAAGCACTGAATGGGCAATGGGAATGAAAGGTCTTTATAAGGTTTATAATGTGCCTGCTGTAAATTACTGTAATACACAAAATATGAAATAATTTACTATGAAGTACAATACCAGTGTCTGGTGCAATCTGGTGCATATATCGTCCTAAATATTCAAGTTATATGTACCGCACGCACGGAAACGCACAGTGGAGTCTCGGTGTTCGTCTGATGACAGATAGCTATACTTCGAGTCTTCGACATAATCATTCTTGATCGTTGAGTTTCAGCAATGTAAATGAAAGGAATTTTACAGTCCATAACGGGTTTTAATCCTGTGCTTTCACAGTCAAGATAGCACTATTGTTTACACACAGTTAGCGATGTTTGGGAAATCTTCCATTATAAAATAAATCCTTTGGCTTTGTTGAATATCGGATAGGATACACTTCAACAATAAACAACCATATCGTTCATTTAGTATCGTTTGATCGATCAGTCGGTATAGAATTGGGAGGACATATATGTTTCTACGGCGATGCGTGCTCAACTTCGCAAGCCAGGCGCGTGTGGAGTCCTTGGAAGTGAAATATGATCCAGCTTCTTGCTTGAAATGTACCGCAACACTTATTATTGATGACATTCAGTATAGCAGGAAGTTGTGTCATGATGAATACGAATTTAAAACTGTTCCTTTCACGATTTCTTGTTGCAAATTACATTTTTATCACCCGAAACTATAACACATAAAATTGCAATTTTCCAAACGTAACAAACAGACTCCTCTACCACCCCTCCCTGAGATCAATTCAATTTACCACGCAGAATCTGCGGGGTCACGTGACCAGCCCCGACCAGGGTCTTTGCTTCACAAGAGCAAAGAGCCTGGGAACGAGGTTGGGTTTAGGGTTAGGATTAGGGTGTATATATGTATATAGAAGTATCCAGTTGTCCTTGCAGTACACTATAGTATCCATTACATAACGTTTAATATATTGGTGCGCGAAACATGGAACGATTACCAAAATTTCAATAAAATGCAGTGGGTTTTTTCCCTTCCACTTATAACTATTACTGTAACTATTTCCCCCCAATAAGGAATTTTATAATTACACGCAATATTGACTATACTGGTGTAGGAAATAAGACTGGCATGGCAGACATTAAATACTTATTGGACGAGGCTTGACCAATGCGGGTAACTTTAATTTAACCAGGTATGGTAAAAAATAAAATTCAAAATAGTTTCCTTGAATGTAAACCTACCTGTGCGATGTCAAAGTATTCGAGGTAAATGTTGTCACTTTCGTAATCAATTTTCGTCAGTTGAAATTATTGCAATTTGTGACGCGTACTTCACCGCCTGTTATATACATTAAGGTAGTAACCCTGTCTACACTACTTATCTCATTGCGGAAACCTGAACATACCTTCTTGCAATCTTGAAGGCAATCTTTTAATTTCGCTATGCATTCACCGCGGATTGAGCTACCATTCGTACAGTCAATTAAAGCAGCAAAGCACTTTTCCTTTAAAATAAAGGAAAACGTTTTTATTGGGTTCTTGTTAGGTATGATAATTGTATTATTATGAGAAATACAAAGTACTTACCCAACAATTTTTGCGGCATTTTTTTTTATAATGTTTTCTGCGACGATCACCTTTCCCGTAACCGTCTTTATCACCTCCATCTTCATCATAATCACTATCATTGTCCTTTCCACTCTTTCCCCGACAACGTTTTCTTCCCCTACTACGACCTCTCCATCCACCGTCCCTATCATCTTTGTCATCATCATAATCCCTATCGTAATCACCTTTGTCCTCCCTGTTGTTCTAGATGATCAATAATGAAGTGATGATCAATAATGAAGTTTAATTAAAAACAGCGAGTGATGAAACAGTCTTTCCTCAAAAGGAAAACGTCTTTCTTAAAGGAAGAAACGATGTATTGTTCTTTGCAAGAAGCCATAGACAGACGCAGTATATGTAGCTCCTACATACACGAGTTCTTGGTTTTACTTGGCCAACTTTTTTTATGGGAATGTTTAATTAAAGGAACGGTCAAGCCTTCAGTGTGCACTTTGTTCACATTTTGAAGACGCTAAATTCATATAATTTAATCCACTTAATTAATACCTAACATCGTTCTAATTCTTATGCTTTATATCTAACATCGTTCAGGGTTGCTATGCTTTTAAATAAATGTAAGAGTTTCAATTTAGAAGCTGTCGAAACAACGCGAAATTTGGGTATTTTTACTTCAGAAGGCCCTCACATGGCACATGCGCAGAACAGAAGTGACTTCATCTCTAATCTATTGTAAGGATAAGTCAAACTCAAAAGCTTGGTCTAAGTGAACGCTCGTTAAGTACAACTAATATAATAACAACTCAAATAGATATCAAGAAATATTACAGTATACTACAGGACAGTACGTTGGCAAGTTTAGATAGTGATATCTGAGGTGGTGAATAAAAATAATATGACTGGTACATATTTTTGTTGTTTGTGTGTCAGAATTTTTTATAGAGTATATAGCTGTTAGAGATACAAAATGATGAAGATAAAGAAAAAAAAAACTTGTCAGCAAGAAATGTGTAAATCAAACCTTGCATTTCCTTCCACAAGTATCTTTCTGCTTCACGCAATCAACACTTCTCGTACTCTCATCTCTCAGACAATCAAAGAGTTTCTCTGTGCAGTTTTTCTGTTGAAACGAACATTATAGTTAGTATACATGTCCCGACACTTAATTTAAGGATGACTTGGAGAGACAGGCCGCGCGGACAGATTTCATTGTGTGCATTATCCAAAAGCCTTGTAGGGAGAAATTGGTTTGATTTTACAAATAAGATCGTGGAAAAAACTAAAACTGTCCAGTCAGAAATAAAGGAATACCGTGCTGGATTGCGTGATCCATGCACACGGGATGTTGCGAGACTTTCGGAAAGCGTGAAAATGCACGAGCCGTAGGCGAGTGTATTTTTACGCTTTCCGAAAATCGAGCAACATCCCAAGTGCATGGATTATGCTATCCTGCACGGGAAAACCATTTGGTAATTGTTTTATAAAATTACTACGTACAGTGCAACGATTGTTTACTTGATTAAAATTACTGATGAAATGTGCAGTTCTCACAACAATCGTGAATTAAGCAATCGGAGAATCGCTACTCCACGCTATTGAAAACAACAAATGTGAACAGAATTTGATCGAAATTCTCGAAAATATACAGCGAAAATACAGAGACTTTTTCGATAAAATATACGAAATTTGAAATGGAAAACCCGCTAAACAGAGAGCCAAAGTAGTTTTGAAGATTCTCGACCTGAATACTTGAAGATTGCGAAGCTTTTGAACTTTGAAGCGAATGTTGAACTTGCCAGGTCTGATAAATTTCAACGCTACGCGTTGCTACTTGCTGAACACCCAATGTATCGATCAGAACTTTATTCATACAACGAAACCAACGACTCAATAATTGCAAACTTACTTCAAAGTCGAAAAGTATGGTACAATGAAACTTTACAATGCGAGTATATTTGTAAAATTATGTGCAAGAATTTCTGTTCAGAACTTCCCGTGCAGGATTATCTGATCCTGCACGACTGTTGACCAATCAAATTGCGTGTTTCACTGTAGTTATTATATAAATGATATTCGCACATACATTAATTAACAAATCAGACAACGTCATTTCCTTCCATCGGTCACTTGCCGTGAGGTAAAGCCACTTCTTGGGACGACTTATGTACCCCCCCGCCACCTCTCCTCGCAAATAGTCGTCCGGAATTGTTTTCCCTGTAAACTTTCTAAGGGTCCCCCAAGTAATCCCTGTAACATGTCGCCCCGTTTGATCAAACCTACATCAACATAACTAATTAATTAAAATACGAATGTGACTCATCTTGCAGGACAACTAAAAAAAAGTTTCAAATGAATATTATCGTTTAAAACATACCCAACAAGTTTGAACAGCCAAGGTACTATTCTTGGAGCGACTCTATATCAATAAATCATTCACCATCAGCATTTTAATATTCAACCAATACAATTACATATAATTTAAACAAAAAATAAGATTTCAAAAAATATCGGTTAACTGCCCATGCCCTTAACAATTTTCCAACAATAATGCATGCTAGCTACACGTGATGCTGATTGTATGGCTACCAGCTCAGACTGGCACAAAAAAACATTAAAACCTAGCGGATGAGGTTAACCGACGTGCATACAAAACTTTCACTTGGGATGGATATAATTAAAAAAAGAACGCCAGCTGAAGTGACATATTACAAAGTTTATACTGCATTTTTCTTCCACTTGCCTATATTTTTCGCATTCAAATAGCTGTATTTGATACTGAAAATGGTTTCATTGCCTTTTAAAGCTGTCTGTGTCGTGGCAGAGTATTTGAGGTAAATGCTGCTTCTCTTTGCCTTATATGTATACTTTATGTACTTTCGTAATAAATAGATTTGCATCACAAGAACCAATGGTAATGCAAATTATATTTGCGACGGCTTGCCCATAGGAGGCATTGGGAAAACCTTGTGCACACTATACTGATCTCAGCAAAGAAACGTGAACGTACCTTCCTGCAATTTTGAAGGCAATCTCTTAATTTCTCTATACATTCACCGCGGGTGGAATTACCATTCGTACAGTCAATTAGATCGGCAAAGCACTTTTCCTATAAAAATAAAGCAGAACGTTTTCGATGCTTGTTAGAGATGAAAATTGTATTATAAGAAATGCAAAATACTTACCCAACAATTCTTGCGGCAATTTCTTCGACGAGATTTTCCTCCACGATCACCTCTCCTGTAATCATCTCTATCACCACCATCTTTATTGTCATTATCTTTGCCGTAATCGTTATTATAATCGTCCCTGTCACTCTTTCCCCGACACCGCTTTCTTCCTCCACGATCACCTCTACTGTAACCGCCTCTATTACGACCACCTTCATTGTCTTCATCGTCCTCATCATTCTTTCCCCGACAACGCTTTCTTCCCCCACGATCACCTCGCCTGTAACCGTCTCTATCATCTTTGTTATCATCGTAATCATTACCGTCCTCCCGGTCGTTCTAGGTAATCAATAATGAATGTTAATTCAAAATCAGCGAGTGATGAAATAGCCTTTTCTCAAATGGATAAAGTCTTTCTTAAAAAAAGAACTTATGTTATAAAAATGTGACGTGTTCCTAACGGCCGGTAAATACAATTGATAAAATTGAATATCAAACAGATAACAAGAATTAATTACCACTGTATTCTTTGTTGGCAAGCTTGTTTAGTAACATTACAGGTTGTGAATAAAAAATGATAAGATAGGTATGTATTTCTTTTTCGATTTTTATGTGGGAGAAAGTTCTGCATATAGGTGTTAGCGATATGACAAAAAATCATTAAGATAAAAAAATCGTCAACAATAAAACGTGAAAATCAGACCTTGCATTTCCTCCCACAACAATCTTTCTGCTTCACGCACTCAACGCTTTTCGTATTCTCGTTGCCCAGACAACCAAACAGTTTCTCTGTGCAGTTTTTCTGTTAAAACAAAACTTATAGTTAGCACACATGGAAAACATGATACTCCTAATGGCTTGCAAATGTTGCAATAGTATAAGTTTATAAGGTACATGAACATAACTTTGCGTTGTTTTCGAATATTCATTTAATTATAAAATTTCCCATTCCTTAACTCAAAATTAAATTTGGAGTGGCGACCTATCTTGTCACAAATAGTCGTCTAGAACTTTCCGTCTAAAATTTTGAGGGATCCCCCAACCAATCGCTGAATCATGTAGGTCCGTCTGATGACAGCTTCTAATCTAAAGGTGACAATAGGACTCATCTCGTAGTAGAGGCAAAAAATAAATTTCAAAACAATTGAACAGTTTTAAACATACCCAACAATCCTGAACAGCCAAGGTGCTATTCCTGGAACGACTCTATATCAATAGAATATTCCAAATCACAGTTTAAATAATTTTATTTTTTATAATTTGAACACAATATGAAATTTGAAAATTTGAATAAAATGTACTGGTCTTCTTCCGTTCCACTTAACAAATTCCCCAATAAGGAATTGTTTATGCAATATTGATTGTACTTGAATGAAGTTAGACTAGCATAACAGACATGACTGACATTTAACAATATTTGCATGAGGCTGGCAATGGAGGATAACATTGACCACGTATAGTAAAAAACGATTCAAAATGGTTTCTTGCCTTTTGAATTTGTCTGCATCATGGCAAATTAATATTCCTAGTATTCCTTTTTGTTTTAGATTTTGTACATTCGTAATCAACAAATTTGCGTCATAAAAACGAATGTTGATGTACTTGAAATTTGTTAGGCGTATTATATCGTCTCTCACATACATTAAGAAAGCCTTGTGTACACTATTGATCTCATTAAGGAAACCTGAACATACAGTACCTTCCTGCAATTTTGAAGGCAATCTTTCAATTTTTCTATACATTCACCGCGGGTGGAATTACTATTCGTACAGTCAATTAGATCGGCAAAGCACTTTTCCTGTAAAATAAAGCGGAACGTTTTCGATGTTCGTTTGGCAAAAAATGTGTATTAGTGTAATAAATGCAAAATACTTACCCAACAATTCTTGCGGCATTTTTTTTGACGAGGTTTTCCCCCACGATCACCTCTCCTGTAACCGCCTCTATTACCACCATCTTTATCGTCATTATCCCTGTCGTAATCATTGTCATCATCGTCCTTATAACTCTTTCCGCGACAGCGTTTTCTTCCCCTACGATCATCTCTCCTTCCATCGTTTCTATCATCTTTATCATCATCATCCCTATCGTAATCATTACCGTCCTCCCGGTCATTCTACGTAATCAATAATGAAGGTTAATTAAAAAACAGCAAGTGATGATATAATGCCTAGACAGATGGAGTATATATAATGTACGAAACTAACACTTAATAGATGCGGCGAGTTCCTAACGGCCGGTAAGTACAATTAATACAAATAGGTACGCCAAGCGTGCATGTATCTGCGACAGATATAATTATAAAGGTGCGTTTACACTTGCAATTTTTGCTGCTATTTCTAGTGCGATTTTCTTCTTCAATTTTCAAAAGTCGGTTAGCTTAACCCTAGGTTAAAATAAAGCAAACAATAAAATTCAAAGCAAACTTCCCAACAGCTTGGAACTGAATAATAAAGTTGGCATGAGACAATTGAAATATTCATCACTTATTATCAGTGGCAAAGCCAGCCCGACAATTTGGTCATGCTATGCAAATTATAAATCATTATCATTATTCATTTCTTTAGAAATTGATTTTTTTTACATAGCATGACCAAATTGTCGGGCTGGCTTCGACACTGCTTATTATCTAATAGCAAATTAGATTTTAAAGTCAGACTTAATACACATCTAACAGAGCTGTTCAAAAAAATTTAACTTATCACTCTTATATGATCATCAGTGAGGAAATAAAAAAATGATACAACAAATACTACAATTAGATTCTAGTGAATAAAATAGTAATGAAGTCTGGCTTCCATAGTGAATAATTACAATAAAATAGCTGTTATAAATTCCACTTGCAGTGATATTTCCATCAGTGTAACACATGTTTCCTTAGGTCAACAAAGCTGCGACGTCATTAAATGTTGATATATAAAACTGGGATGTCACAGTGATAGCTTGACAATCTTTATCACCCGTATAATCAAGATATGCAAAACATTTTAAACGCCAATACTCGTGTTGTCACTTGTCAATCCATACACATAGAATTTTTGAAAACTTTATTGGCAATCATATGAAGCAAATGTTCCGTCACTTATTAATACAGCATGGGTTACATTTTCCAATGTCAACTGTTGAGTAACATACACAAACTATTCCAGGAACCTACATTACGGTAGCAATTAAACACCACTCATCAAATGCCCCTCATCAGTAGAAAATGCTTTGAAGGTCACAAGTATACAATTTCATTCCATCCCTGCACACACTGAGGTAATAATGATAGATCACACTGCTCAGTACTGTATAACGTAGCATATCCATGTAAAAAGAAAATCCGTACGAATATCACAAGTTTAATTTTGTACATTGTACTGCATGTCAATGATCAGATCCATCCATATGATTATTGTAGCTGTTAAGTTCTTTTCTTATAGCCATACTAATGAATTGAGGTAAGATTGTCCTGCAAGTAGGTTGTTCTGACAAAATTATCCAGCCAATATCCAGTACATTTATTAATCATTGTTGTATGATAAATCTCTAAAAAATACAGCTTTTATATTGTACAAATTACTTGCATGCTTAATTAAACTGATTATACACTGGTACACTGAAAAATGTTCATTATAATTCTTTAATTCTTACCTTAAAACTATAAAAGTAGAAAACACTTCAGTTCTGTAGTAAAATATAACTTTCAAAAAGCTAAACGGCTCGAAATGCTCGAAACATGCCGCCATGTTGAATTTAGCCTGCGAACAGGCTTCTGTTTTCGCACTGACCTATAGTATATCTGCTAACAAGACTTAATTACCACTGTATGCTACGTTCGCAAGCTTAGTGATATCTCGGCTACGAGGTGAATAAAAAATGATATGATGTGGGAAAGTTCTGTACATGGATGTCGGGGATATGACAAAAAATATTAAGATACGAAAAATTATCACCAATAAAAGGTTGAAGTCAGACCTTGCATTTTCTTCCACAGCAATCTTTCTGTTTTACGCACTCAACGCTTCTCATATTCTCATTCCCCAGGCAATCAAACAGTTTCTTTGTGCAGTTTTTCTGTTAAAACGTAGTTCATAGTTAGCACATGTGGAAGATGTGATACTCGTAATCGCTTGCAATAGGATAATGTTCTAAGGTACGTGAATATAACTTTCAGTTGTTTTAGAATATTCATTTAGTTAAATTTTCCATTTCTTTCTAATGATCTGAAGCAACAGCGTTTCTCGTTGGTTGGTCACACAACACACTAAACGGCGACTTGCCACGAGGTAATAGTGAGTTTACGAATGTAAGACGGCGACGTCAGGACGACAGCTAAACAAACTGTTTGAAATAAATGATTGTATGGAAATCTGGTCTTGTATTTACTTTCGTATATGAATTTAAAATAGTTTCGAACGAGTAAAACAGAGCTTTAACCTTGAGAGCAATGTTGATCAACTCTGCTAGAAGAACTACATGTTACGGCTTGAAATGCTGGCGTACAATACAAGACGTGAAAATATGCATTTTGTCGTTGTCAACAGAGCTTGCACGACGTCTAAAACCTCTGCTAGACTTTTTAAGACTAGACTTTTTGTGCTAAAGGATTAATGGAATTGTATTGATAGCCGTCGTCCTGACGTCGCCGTCTTACATTCGTAAACTCCCTAATCTCGCTTGGTGTGGCCGCTTATCCCGTCGCAAATAGTCGTTTAGAATAGTTTTCCGTCTGAACTTTCGAGGGGACCCTTAATCGATCCCGTGGAAACATGTCGGCCCGTGTGATCAAATCTTCATCTACACTAATCTAAAGCTGAAAATAGGACTCCTCTCGCAGGACAGCAAAAAAGTTTCAAAACAGTATTTATCGTTTCAAACATACCCAACAATTCTGAACAGCCAAGGTGCTATTCTTAGAACGACTCTATATCAACAGAATATTCCAAATCACCGTTTTAATATTCACTAAATAAATTTACTTATGTAATTTAACACAAGAGGAAACATAAAAGTTTGAAAAATATGCAGCGTTCTTTTTCCTTTCCACTAGACAATTTCTCCAATAATGAATTGTACATGCAATATTGATTGTACTTAAAGGTAGTTAGACTGGCATGACAGACATAATATTAAAAAAATTTGCACACTTTCCACTTCAAGCGCGACGTATAGTACTGACACATATCAAAACAAATTTTAAATTTCAAAATTTAGTGAATGTTGATTCGTTTTCAATTCTGATACGCAAATCAACCGGCAGTACTTAAATTGGAAAAACCATTTTCAAGCTGCGCGTGCTCATCGGTACGTTACGGTACGATACAGGCGAAATGGAAAATGACCTTAAGCTAGGCCATGGAGGATGATAACAACGGCCTTGAATGGTAAAAAAACAAATCAGAAGATTCAAATTGGTTTCCTTTTTTTAATATAGGTATCATGCGATGGAGAGTACAACTAGGGATTAATAGTGCGAGAGATTTTTTTCTGTGTTGGTGTTGTGTGCTCAGATGAATATGATATTTGTGATGTTACTCTGAATGTATATCCACACCGGGCGAGCTCGAACTCGAGCTCGCCCGGTGTTGATATAAACTCAGAGTAACATCACAAATATCATCGTGTAAGAAATGTTTGGAAATTTTTCCAAAATTGGACGAGCGGCCGGGGCGAGTTCAATTTGAAAAATTTCCAAACATCACGAGCACTATTAATCCCTAAGTGTACGAGTAACAACGCATGGTTACTTGTTTATTATTAGCATGACAAAATTGGATACTTCTCAATGTCAACATCATATTCTCTCGCTAAAGCCCAGTCCTGCCAGACTATCAACCAAAATTTGGTGCTTTTGTTCTATTTTCATTTAGTTCTTTTGTTAAAGCAACATTTGGTGCTTTTGTTCGTATTTTCATCTAGTTCCTCTAGGGCAATTTCATTTCACATTTGTATTTTGTTACCTGTTAACCTTAAAATGGCAAAGTATTCGTAGTATTTCACTTCGTTTTAGATTTTTTACTTTCGTAATCAAGAACTTTGCTTCACAACAACGTGTTGGTATAATTGAAATTTGTCATGCGTTTCACACGATCTTTTTGGGACATTAAGAAAACCTTGTGTGCATAAATGATCTCATTAACAAAACCCGAACATACCTTCCTGCAATTTTGAAGGCAATCCTTTAATTTCTCTATGCATTCACCGCGGGTTGAATTGCCATTCGTACAGTCAATTAAATCGGCAAAGCACTTTTCCTGTAAAATAAAGTAGAACGTTTTCGATTCTCTTTGAGAAGAAAAATGTTATTATTATAATAAACTCAAAATACGTACCCAACAATTCTTGCTGCATTTTCTTCGACGAGGTTTCCCCCCACGATCACCTCTCCCGTAACCGTCTCTATCACCTCCATCTTTATCGTCATCATCCCTGTCGTAATCTTTGTCATAATCGCCGTTGTCGTCCTTGTCACTCTTTCCCCGACAACGTTTACTTCCCCTACGACGACCACTCCTTTCATCGTCTCTACCGTTTCCATCTTCATCGTCGTCATCCTTTTCGTAATCATTATCATAACCGTCATCATCGCCCTTATCACTCTTTCCGCGACAACGTTTTTTACCCCTACCACGATCTCTTCTTGCATCGTCCCTATCATCTTCATCATCATCATCGCTATCGTTATCATTTTCGTCCTCACGGTCGTTCTAAGTGATTAATAATGAAGACTAATTAAAAAAATACCAAGTGCTGAAAAGACATTTCTTGAAATTGATCTAGCCTTTCCTGAAGAAAGAACCAATCTTATTGTTCTTTATAACCAAAAACCATAAAGGTAAAAACAAATATCGTTAGCAAGAAGAGGTGTAAGTCAAACCTTGCATTTCCTTCCACAAACATCTTTCTGTTCCACGCACACTATGCTTCTCGTATTTTCATTCCCCAGACAATCGAACAGTTCATCTGTGCAGTTTTTCTGTTAAAGCAAGCATTGTAGTTAGAAGATATGGCGCAACATTTCAAAAATTTATTAATCTTATCAAAATAAAATACTTATGTTTTGACAAAATATATGGTATATATGAAATATATGAGATTTCCTTCCAATTTTAAAGGTCTCAAAAGATCCAGAGCAACATCATTTTTCATTGTTCATTACACAACATACTATGGAGTAATTTGGAGGGACAGGCCGATAGGACATGTAGATTTTATAATTATGTGAATTACTCAAAAACCTTCTACAGGCTAATTGGTTTGATTTCATACAACTGGTCGTGGAGGAAACTGAAACTGACAGAACAGAGAAAGGTATTCAGACATAAATGTCTCAAATAGTCATTGGGATTTCCAAACATATTCCAAAAACATGTCGCCTCTTTGATTAGTCTTTTTTATTATATGACAAGCATCACTTCCAGTGAAATGGCGGACTGTGATTAGCTGAGAAGCACTTTCAGCGGTCCATTATTTTGGCGGTCCATTATTTTGGCGGTCCATTACGTAAAAACAAACGCATGAATTTTAAAACAAAACAGCAAAACAAACTGAAAATTTGAAAATTATAATTTAATTTGTTATTAACAAGATATCTGCGAATGGTTTTAGTGGAAAGGAAGGGATACATTTGGCATTTTTTGTTTTCTTCGATCAAATGTGTAACATGCACGCTACTAATATGCATTTCAAACCATACATTTCTTTATTGTTTCGACTATAAATGCCTATAAATGCCATATAATAAATTTTTATTAACCTCCCTTGCTCGGTCTTTACAAAGTAATATCGGACTTCGGTCTTTTTGTACAAACCTCGCCCTACGGGCTTGGTCCGTACAAAAAACACCTCGGTCCGATATTTCTCTGTAAAGACCTCGCGCTCGGTTAATAAGAAGTTAATATCTACGCTAATTTAAAGACGAACGTATGACTGCATAATCTCGCACGACAGCCAAAAACGAAGTTTCAAAAGAACATTATCTCTTTAAACATACCCAGCAATTTTGAACAGCCAAGGTACTATTCTTGGAGCGACCCTATATGAATAAATCATTCACAATAGCATTTTCATATTGAATAAGTACATATATTTGCATAATCGGAACAGAATAGCAAATTTTAAGATTGACAAAAATAATGGTCAACTGCCCTTCCACTTAATTAACAACATTCCACCAAGAATGCATTCGACAAATATTATTGATTATACTGGTACCAAGTTAGACTTGCACAGTTGAGGCGCATACATAACTTGGTTCATGCATATAGATAATTAAAAAAACGGTAGCAAGCAGCTGACGCCAGCAGTCACAAATACAACAAGTGTATACTGTGTTTGTCATCCATTTTTCCAAATGCCAATATTTTCCGCATTCTAGAGATCCAAAACGGTTCCCTTGTTTTTTAAGACTGCCTGTATGATGGCGAAATATTCGAGGTAAATGTTGTCCAATTGCTTCAGACCTTTTATTTTCGTAATCAAGAAATTTGCCTCACAAAAACGAAGTTGATGTAACTGAAATTTGTTATTCGTATTACACCGTTTATTAGAGACATTACGAAAACCTTGTACCTTCCTGCAATTTTGAAGGCAATCTTTCAATTTCTGTATGCATTCACCGCGTGTAGAATTACCATTCGTACAGTCAATTAGATCGGCAAAGCACTTTTCCTGTAAAAATAAAGCGGAACGTTTTCGATGCTCGTTTTGCATAAAAATTGTATTATAAATACAAATGCAAAGTACTTACCCAACAATTCTTGCGGCATTTTCTTCGACGAGATTTCCCCCCACGATCACCTCGCCTGTAACCGTCTCTATCACCGTCATCTCTAGTGTTATATCTGTCGTAATCATTATTATAATCATCATCCTTATCACTCTTTCCCCGACAACGTTTTTTACCCCTACGATAACCTCCTCTTCCATAGTCTTTATCATCTTTATCATCATCGTCATCATTATCCCTATTGTAATCATTTTCGTCTTCACGGTCGTTCTAGGTGATCAATAATGAAGGTAATTAATTCTAAAAACAGCAAGAAATGAAATAGTCTTCCTTCAGATAGACTTGGCACTTCTAAAAGGAAGAAGGTCTGAATTTGTTTTTGTTGTTCTTCGCAAAAATCCATATGCATATCGAATGTACGAAACTAGCACTTAAAAAATGCGACGATTTCCTGCATGCATGGTTTGTTAGTTTTATTTCGTAAAAGTAACATATTTCTATTTCTTATTTTTATACGAATGTTGAACTATGTATATAGATAACTCAATCTCAAACGATTGGTCACGGTCACGTCGATAAATACAATTAATCAACATGAAACTCGAATAGATATCAAGAAATAATTACTATTATTATTATATACCAATAGTCAAAGTCGCATTTTTCTAGTGTTTTATTAATCGAGAGCATATCACGCGAAAGTGACGAAATTAGGCTGTCTCACTCCTTCGAAACAGCGCGAGAGGGAAATAATACGTTATCGACCGGCGAATAACGAAAAAAAAATCACATGCGCCATCACGTGAAAATACAACCATTGGACATGCCTGACAATTTAAAACAATATAACAATTACAATATAACAATTTAAACTGTCGCTTTAAGTAACTGCAGTGTTTAATTTAACGTTTTAACAATAAAATATTTATTTATTTATTTATTTATTAACTTTACAATCATACAAAAATTATAACAATGATTGAAAGTATGGTCAACTGGACATGAGTACCATGTGAAGACAAAGTGACCAACCTGATACAATACAATAAGTAGACATACATTAAAGACAAGGGCTAGAACACTATTTACATAACTATATAGAAATTAATAATTTAGGAATTTAATATAGAAATTTAATAATTAATAATTAATAATTAATAATTAACCTCCAAGTGCGCATTCTGTTAACATCGAAAGAGGAGTCTAATTGAGAAGCGTGGTGAGAATGGAGCTGTAGCTTAAAGGATGAAACAGACGAACTGTTACGAATGATCGGAGAGAGATTGTTCCATAGAAAGACAATTCGGTTAAAAAACGAGTTTCTAAAAAGAGAGGTTTTGCATGGATTGACTTGAAGCAAGTTGTCCTTGCTTGAACGGGTGCGAGATGAGCGATTAGAAGAAAAGGTGACAGAAGAGGAGATATCTAGGTCGTAGAGGCCTTGTTGGCATTTTAAAAAAAAAGATGAGATCGTTTATTTCAAGCCAGTATAATGTAGGCCATAAATTAAGTTTCCTTAAGACGATCAAGATAAGACAACTCATAATTTTCAAGTATAAATGTAATAGCTCGTCTCTGAACACCCTCCAGGATCGCAAGATCGCGTGACGAGGCTCGAGGTGCCCATTTCATGTATTTACGTTCATTTGTTCTTTAATTTGTTGTTTCTTTGACTATTCATATATGATAAAACACTTATTTACTGAGACCTTGGGAAAGCAGTGTGTTTTGTGGACCCTCGACCGTCGATGTTTCACAAAACACACTGTTTCCTCGGTCTCAGTAAATAAGTGATAATTGTATACTACTTTGGCACGCTTAGTTATATGTAAGGTGGTTAATCAAGAATTATATGAGTGGTACATATTTATTTTGTGTGGTTTGTGTGTGGGAAAGATAGGTATATAGCTGTCGGGGATGTTACCAAAAATTATGAAGATAAAGACAACGATTGTCAAACAGGAAAAGAAATAAGTCATACCTTGCATTTTCTTCCACAAGCGTCCTTCTGCTTCACGCACACAACACTTCTCGTATTCTCGTTCCTCAGGCATTCAAAGAGTTTCTCTGTGCAGTTTTTCTGTTAAATCGAGCATTATAGTTAGCGCACATGCCTCAAAATTTCTAAAAATCTATTTTATATTCTGGAAATTGGATGCTCACAATACGTCAAAATGGTACAGTACATCATTTCGCTTTGTTCAGTCACACAACACCCCGAACGATAACTCAGAGGAACAGATCGCGAGGACAGATTTCATTGAGTGACTTATCTCAAAATCGTTTCGTGGACAAAATGATTTGATTTCGTAAAATAGGTCGTGGAGGAAAATTATAATTGACCAATCAGCGAACGATATTCCTAACAAATCAGGCTACGTCATTTCCTTTCAGCGAAGACTTGTTCCAACATAATAGACAGATTTAGATCGAGGACGCGGACGTAAAAGACGACGTGAAAATGGCGTGTTCTGCCCATGTATGGATATGCCACGCCATTTTGACGCGATTTCCACGTCGTTTTTGATGTCCGCGTCCTCGATCTAAATCTGTCCAATGGTCGCTTTGTGAGACCACTTCCCCCCCCCCCCCATATAGTCGTTTGGAATTGCTTTTCTTATGAACATTTGAGGGATCCCCACAACCAATCCCTGAAATATGTCGTCCCGTGTGACTCGCAGGACAGCTAAGAGTGTTTCGAATAAATATTATCGTTTTAAACATACCCAACAATCTTGAACTGCCAAGGTGCTATTCTTGGAACGACTCTATATCAACGAAGCGTTAAAAATTAGTATTTTTATATTCAATAAATACATTTATATGTCTAATTTAATTAAATAAAAATAGCAATTTTGGGATTTAAAATATGCAGACCAACTGCCCTTCTACAATTTTCATCCAATAATGCATTCCACATGATATTGACTATGCTGGTACCAAGTTATACTGACATGAAATATATTAAGCACTTATTGCACGAGGCTGACCGAGGAGGATAACTTTCAGTAGGCTTGGATAATTAAAACGCGGAGAAGAAAAGTTCACGTCAGCACGAGAGACCTATTTGAAATTTGTGATGTTCCAAATGCAACGCATATGGTAATGTATATACTGCTGTACTTTCTCCCATTTTTCGAAAAGTCTACATTTTTCGCATTTAAGTACTGTAGTTATAGTGAGATTCAAAAATGTTTCCTTGCCTTTTAAACTGCCTGTATCATGGTAGAGCGTTTGAGCTAAATACTGTTACGCTAAATCTGTTCTAATAAATCAATAAATTTGCGTCGTGCGCATGAACCAATGTTGTGACGCGTTTTTCACCGTCAACTATAGAAACGTTAAGAAAACCTTGTGTACACTACTGATCTCAGTAAAGAAACCTGAGTATACCTTCCTGCAATTTTGAAGGCAATCTTTTAATTTCTCTATGCATTCACCGCGGGTGGAATTACCATCCGTACAGTCAATTAGATCGGCAAAGCACTTTTCCTGTAAAATAAAGCGGAACATTTTCGATGCTTGTTTGGCATAAAAATTATATTGTTATAACAAATGCAAAAATACTTACCCAACAATTCTTGCGGCATTTTCTTCGACGAGGTTTTCCCCCACGATCACCTCTTCTGTAATCGTCTCTATCACCTCCATCTTTATCGTCATCATATCTATCGTAATCGTTATTATAATCGTCTCTATCACTCTTTCCCCGACAACGTTTTCTTCCCCCACGACCACCTCTACTGTAACCGCCTCTATCATCTCCATCTCTATCGTCATCATATCTGTCGTAATCGTTATTATAATCGTCTCTATCACTCTTTCCCCGACAACGCTTTCTTCCCCTACGACCACCTCTACTGTAACCGCCTCTATCACTACCATCTTTATCGCGATCATCATTGTCGTAATCATCATAATCGTCATCATCGCCCTTATCACTCTTTCCGTCACAGCGTTTTCTTCCTCTGCGATCATCTCTCCTTCCACTATCGTAATCATTACCGTTCTCCCGGTCGTTCTAGGTGATCAATAATGAAGCGTAATAAAAAAAAAACAGCGAGTGATGATATAGCTTTTCCTCAAATAGATAAAGCCATTTTTAAAGAAAGAATCAGTCTTGTTGCTCTTTGCAAAAAGTCTTAAGAGAGGATGTCCACAAAAATCAAACATAAAGCGGCCACGACTGAAAAATCGATTTTGCTCAAATTTTGCCCAGATATACCTTATTATATCGGAAAATGCACCATATATTTTTTTAGGTCAAATGCTTTTTTAACTTTGAGAAAATGCCGTTTTAACACGACCACCCTAAATCGCCATTTTTTTGGTGGAAAATATGCGCTGATTTTACAGATAAATTTCACGACGACAACCGTTTCTAATCGATCTAAAACCCTAAAAATCTTGTTTTTGGTTATTCAAAGGACTGTGTACATGACTTACAGGAAATCTGAGTTACTTTTAGGAATAGAAATAATCGTAGTTTTGGAGCACACTATCTTACTTCATTTGCGATACCCTCTTAACAAAATCGATTTTCACCATGCGATAAAGCTCCAAATCGATCATGCTTCTACTAGTTGGCTCTTGAATAAAAAAGCCTTCAATTGACGTAAATACTTCTTTTGGCAAATGAATACGCGATAAACGACAGCGCGTTGAAATCTTCCGTTTTTGACGTCTTGCAAGTCAAACGCTGTTAATTTATACACCGTCAAAGTAAACAATTTAATCAAGTATTCTAAGTATTTTACCTTTTGAGAAAAAACATATTCTTGAATGGGGACTTTTCACTTTGCTAAGTTTAAAAGTGGTCCAGAAATCCCAGTATATTTGTAAAAAAATCATCAAACATCCAGTATTTTGAGACATTGTTGACGGTTGCATGATAACTTCAGATCATTATTCAACGTGATCTACGACCCGCCGACCCGGCCGTTTGACTTTTAATAGCGCTAACATATACAAATCGATGAGCTATTTAAGGATTATATTTGCTACTAAATTCCCCAAAAGAATTGGAACTACAACTGCTGTTTTCAGAGGTTTTGATCCATTTTGTCCATATTAATGTACCATTTTATTTATCGACTGATGTTGACAAATACGTAAGTTAATTATTAAGCAGCTGTTAGCGTGCGTGTACATGTGAGATGAACGTTTATAATGTTTATCCAAATAAGGAGTTTTTATTTTTAGTTTACCAGCCTTTATATTTGAATAGTCGTTTTCTTTCAAGTTGTTTTCTTTTTTATACTCTGCAAAGTTGATTCCGAAATGTTAAGGTATTCGAAAAAACTATCGAACTTTTCCATGATATTTACAGAGAAACGTCACAGCTGTAAACCCCCGTTCCCCACCCCCAAAACGAACATATGACGTTTCTTGTGGAAAAATCGATATGTGAGGCTTCCCTAAAACTGCAAGGTTTACACTATTGAATTAAAATCCCACAGACCACAACGATTATACGTATTGATTGTTTCTTGACGATAGTAGACGCGTACGTGCATGTTGCGGAAGAGGTTATTTCGCTGGCCTCAGAGACAGAGTGACAAAAGGTACTCTGGTTCTAGAGGTTTAAAATAATAAACCTCTGTTTGAAAGCGGCAATTAATTCATCGAGCCGCGCCAGTTATGATAAGACAAGGTAGGTAGGTAGGTAGGTAGGTAGGTAGGTAATACTTTATTTAAAATTAACAGAAAGAAGAACACGCTAGCCCCATCAACTCTAGGCTGGTTTCCATGGGGGCGTGTTTAGATCTTAAAAATCATTAAAAGGAAAATTTAAACTAAATATTAGTACACACATACTGTACACGTTACTATATACAAATAATTAGGAAGCATGTCGCTGTCCAACAATTGATTTAAACGAATGAGGCGACTCGGCCAATTTTGCTTCGTTTGGGAGTTGATTCCATAGCATAGCGCCGCTATATTTAAAACTTTTTTTAAGAAATTCTCGTTTCGGTTTAGGAATTGTTAGATCAGTTGTTGTGTTTCGAAGATGATAATTAGTTTGATCTATTTCTCTTCTCACGAATGACCCCCGGAGACCTGGCGCAGTGTGGTCGTTAAGTATTTTATACATTAATACTGACTTGGCACCAGACCGCCTATTTTCAAGTGTATCCCAAGAAAGCATGTTGAGAAGATCAGCTGAGCGAGTATCATAATTAGACAAGGGCGGCGCCAGGGCCGCCCATGCAGGGAGGCGGCAAAGGGAGCAATTTTCTCCGCGACCCCAGCTCAAGGAAGACAGGCAAATACAAATTTGCAAGGCGATAAAAAGTTTGTCGACGGAGGGGGGTAATTGTGGTTCACCGGGGCCCCAAGGGTATAATTGGCCCTGGGCCCCATATTTCACTGAGCTGGTTTGGGCTGCGCCAGTATTTCTCCGACGGGGGGAGTCATCAGTGCTCTCTTTTGATCTTTGTCAATTGGCATTAAAACCGCAAGAACTACCGACAAGTGACCAGGGCCGGATTAACGTCGCGCGAGGCCCGTGGCAAATTTTAGCGCGAGGCCCCCAAACCTCCCCCTTTCTTCCTTTTATGAAAACCATTGAATTTAAAGACACACAAAAGTGTTAAACAATTTTTTTCAATATTTCAATTTATTTGCATCAATTATAAACGAGATAATGGCCTGCCTGGCGCAGTTGGTGGGTATAAACAGGATCATAATATAACAGCTCAACGCAACTAAAGATTATATGAACACGAGTATTGCATATTTCCCCGGGGCCGTGCTAGGGCGAACTGCCAAGCCTAGGGGCCCTAAATGCGCGAGGTCCCTAAATTCGCGAGGCACCTAAAATGGGTGTATCCCAATCGTAAAAATGGGCGTAGCACAGTAAAGCGCGAGGCCCACGGCATTTGCCGTATTTGGCACGTGGTTAATCCGGCGTTAAACGAGCAACAAGCTTTCATTTTCTTTAAACGCGACGTATGGGGAGACAATAATAATTTGTGATGTCGCACTGGGCCAAAATACTCAATGCTGTATTTCTGGGTACTAGTACTTGTGAAATATAATAAGATCAATAGACATTAGTGTATCAAAATAAAGTAATTTTACTGATTATTTTAACTCATGTGCATCAAAGTAAACACACATTATTCTAAACTACAGTATTTGCTATATGCCTATAATTTGAGTTTGAGGTGGTAGAATATATAATAAAATAACAAATCCTTGTATGGATAAATGTTCATTTCACACGCACGCTATTAACAGCTGCTTAATAATTAACTTATGTATTCGTAAACATTTATACTCGATAGTCGATATGTAAATACTAAATGGTACATTATATGGATCAATGCAAACTGGAACAAAACAACAATTGTCAATTGAAGTTCTAATTTTGGGAAATTTAGTAACAAATATAAAATCACTAAACAGCTCATCGATTTGTATGTTTGCGCTATTATTAAAAGTAGACAATATTGAACAATGATCTGAAGTTGTCATGCAACTGACAACAATATTATATTTCAAAATACCTGTATATGATGATATTTTACAAATATCTCGGGATTTTTGGACCAATTTTAAACTAAGCAAGGCAAAAAGTCTCCATTCAAGAATATATCTTTTTCTCAAAAGGTAAAATACTTAAAATACTTGATTAAATTGTTTACTTCGACGGTATGTAAATTAACAGCGTTTGACTTGCAAGACGTCAAAAACGGAAGATTTCAACGCGCTGTCGTTTATCGCGTATTCATTTGCCAAAAGAAGTATTTACGTCAATTGAAAGCTTGCTTATTAAAGAGCCAACTAGTAGAAGCATGATCGATTTGGAGCTTTATCGCATGGTGAAAATCGATTTTGTTAAGAGGGTATCGTAAATGAAGTAAGATAGTGTGCTCCAAAACTACGCTTATTTCTATTCCTAAAAGTAACTCAGATTTCCTGTAAGTCATGTACACAGTCCTTTGAATAACCGGAAACAAGATTTTTAGGGTTTTAGATCGATTAGAAACGGTTGTCGTCGTGAAATTTATCTGTAAAATCAGCGCATATTTTCCCAGAAAAATGGCGATTTAGGGTGGTCGTGTTAAAACGGCATTTTCTCAAAGTTAAAAAAAGCATTTGACCTAAAAAAATATATGGTGCATTTTCCGATATAATAAGGTATATCTGGGCAAAATTTGAGCAAAATCGATTTTTCAGTCGTGGCCGCGAAATGTCTCATATGTTCGATTTTTACTGACATTCACTCTTAACACCTTTTTTATACAAAAACGCTCAAAACACCTATTAATTAATTAAAAAATTGTAAAACAAACAATTTACTCACAAAATTATTTGCCGATTTTGCTCTCCAGTTGCAAATTTCTCCTGCAACATTTTGATTGGATCTAAGCATGAACTTTGCTGTGTGTGTCGGGCTATATTTCTAAAATAGAGCCTGATCTCAGGTTAGGATCTCACATATTTGTAGACTTTGGTTATATCAACAACGTCGTGTGACGTATTTCATATCTTTCTCAATATTTAAATCATTCTAAAAGGAAATGTGCAGGGGAGCCACCCGACGGTAGAATAACGTAATCAAAGACCGTTCAGATTGCAGACATGTCAAACTAATAGGTTCCGATCGAGACACTTTCATAAATACTACTGTGCTACATTGCAATTTACGGCCAAGAACATTTAGGAACATACACTCGATTTTTTGAAAGTATATTGTATTATAAAAGCCTGTAGTTTCATTAATCATAGACATAGTATTCCACTCATTTTTTGTTTCATACCCCCCCCCCCCCCAAATGTCGTAATTTGTCTCATACCCCCCAAAAGTTAGATAATTTGTTTCATATCCCCCAACTTACCCTCCCCCCAGTACATATACTTTATGACCGGTCCCTTACAAACATTGATTAAACATTCATTTCTTTTGTATTCGTCGTGAATTATTAATGATTTTTTAAATTTCTTTGTATGATATGCTACTGACAATTGTTACTGTCTTACTGATGTTTAAAACTGAATGAAAACTTTAGCTACGAATCAATTTTAATTCGGCCGTTAATTTTTTGGCCCACTGTTTTTTCGTATGACAATTTGTCATTCGTAGCCCGTTATTTCGCATCCTACCAATGATCTCCAGGCGTGTCTTTATGACAAAATTGGGGGTGGGGATATCTGGAATAACGATGCCCTGCATTTAAATTATGCATTTAAATTTCCTAAAAAGTTGTACTCTAATCTTCACTATACACACAATTTAAACGACATGTTACGCATCAGGGTGTTAGCTGCAGTCAAAAAGTCCGCGTTAAACGCGGTTTTCCCAATTACTTTGAGGTCGCAATTTCCCAATTTGGTTCAGCCAAAAAAATAGTTATAGAAATTCTCAAATTCAATGTTGTTAATACGCCATTAAAAACATGTTTATAACTACATTTGCTCAAAATTACTCCCAAAATGCGGGAAATGCCATTTCAGAGCCACGAAAATTTTAAAAATCGAGAGGGGGCAACCGCATGCCCCCATGCAGACCCACAAAGAAAATAATGCCCGGCTTCAGGCTAAAATAAATTTCCTCATTTCAGGTAAACGCGGATTTTTTTTCTGGCTAACACGCTGCGCATGCATGGACAGGTTAGTAATATAATGAATGATACAGTGAGTACCTCTAATTCATACGTCAATACAATTTGTTTTATCTGTTTATTGGTATTACGAAAACGTGGTGCTTCGTTTCGATCAAAACCACGTCTCGTGTTTTCGCGTCAAAACATTCAGGAATGCGAGTACACTCGCAACTACGTGAAATTGACATGGTGACATCCGATTGGTCCGTGAGAAATTATACTAGAAACCCAAACAACAAGCGGGTTAAATCAATTTTAATCCGTGCCAGATGGGCAATTTTTCATTGACACGTTTTATTTCCCCGGTACGGTCAAAAATTGACAAGCCAAGGAGCTTTGTTGCAAAGCTAGTCATGCCAGCTTTTGGACAAGGAAAATTTGTTCGTGTGTATATACGGCTGCCAAGGAAAACTTGACGAGTGTATACAACATTCAACAAATACTTCCATATGGGTTTGGCAAACAAACGGCGACTTTGAAGAGAGAATGATAAATGTAGTTTAACAAACAATATACCTATAGGCACGGAAAAGTTTAAATCCATTTGAAATTTCTTATGAAAATATTCAACGAGTAAGTTTGTGTAGAAACTGGTGGCATTCTCTTAATACGCGTAAAATTATATAAAATATCTGCAAATATCAGGATTTTGGGCATTTAAACGTTGGACCTAGGGTTTTGTAGATGGGAATCTCGAGTGTAACTTTTGAGTAAAAAAGCATGCGGTAACTCGACAACTGCACTCTCAGTATGCAGTAGCTGAATTGGTTGGAGTGACGCAGCGTAATCGCTGGGGCTCAGGTTCGATTTCTGCCAGAGGGGTTGGGTCTAATAAATTAATTTATAATATAGCATTTGTAAATTCTGAACGCTGATTGGCTAAGAGCCGTGTTGATATAACTCAATGTCAACACGTAAACGCCGGAAAATTTCTTTATGATTTTTTGTGCTATAATCAGTGCTGTAAGTAACTTCGTTACAAGTAACGAAATTACAAGTAATCGTTACTTTTTGAGTAACCTTAACGGTAACTAGTTACCTTTAAAAATAAAGTAACTGTAACTGTAACGAGTTACATTTTGGCCTAAAATGAAATGATAACGCGTTACTTTTATAGCCAACGTTTACGTTACTTTATTCGTTACATTCTTGCGGTTAAAACTTACAATTCACCTCTCAGTTCTCGAAATTCTCCTCACGGTTTTCTACGACAACGCATGCTTCAGTGCTTAACACAGCTGAGAGATCCTTTAGTGGTAAGGTTACATAACGTTTACAAATAATTAACGTCAATCTGCTGACCACTAATCATTAATCGTTTTTTCTTACTTGAAGTAACTTGTAACTAGTTACAAAACTATTGAAGTAATTTTGTAACGGGAACTAGTTACATTTTTTTAAATGTAACTTTTACCAGTAACTAGTTCCTTTTTGTATCTGCGAAGCAGATGTATTGCCATCGTGCGCGTACCGGAAGTTTGTTAGCGTGCTCATAGCCAATCAACGATAGCGTATAGATGAAATGACGTAATGATACAAATTTCAAAATGGCGGTTTACTGAAGGGTGAAACAAAAGGCAATTTGTGAATTTACGATTCAAATTATACATCAAACGCAGTTTAAAACAACGTCATTTTACTAGTCTGAACTGGCAAATGTCGATAGTGCATTTTTGACAAGCATTTGAAGGATTTCATCATTTAATACGAAGTGGAAACGAAATGATTCGCAATTTTTGACAAGAAAATTATTGACTAATGGCATTGAGAATACTATTATGAAACTATGAAAGTAATGATTCTTCCACATGTTTCCGTTGTAGGTGTATATCGAGTTGTAAGTGTTGATGTTTATGTAGTCATCAGAGTCAGAAGCTAAGTCAAACATATTGGAAACATTTCTCTTAAAGCACTTTATAGCAGTATGTGCATTGAATAATTGCTTTCATTAAAGAAAAGCCAAAGTAATAGTAGCTGCATAAAGAGCAGAGTTTCAGTTTTAGATTGGAATATAAATACTTATAGTGACAGTTGCAACCAGTCACAATTATCAACTTGCAGCATATAACTATATATCCTGGAGGGGGTGCCAAACATTCCAACCGTCCCGGTTTACCCGGGACTGTCACGGTTTGGACTCTGTTGTCCCGGTTTTCTTCTTATTGTCCCGGTTTCTGTAGTATTTTAATAGTTGTATTCTTCAAATAAGGCTCAAGTGACAAATATTAATGAAATTCGTTTGGTTCAATACATGTTAATGAAATGGGAGCTTCTAGTTGCCCCAAACAATTGCCGAGTTTGCCGCCGATCGTTGTTAAATAAATTCTCGTGACATACGTTGTTTTGACAAATGACAATTTAGCGTTCGCTTTCAATTCTTATTCATTTTGCCAGGGCTACATGAAGTAAAGCAGCGTAACAGAAGCGGGCGCAATAATCGCGGGCTCTTGAATAGGAGAGGATCACAGTTCAAAAGACCAGTAGTAGAGAGTAGTAAAACGAAACAATTTCGCCAGTACAGGACTTCAAAGAAATTAAAGCTTGTTGAGAAGATGTTATATTACTTATGGGTTTCAACGTTAGTGTAATAAAAGTAGTTTTTGTAGCATCCACTGTGAATTTATTGTTTAATTCAAACTCAACACTAAACCAAATAGACACCACATCAATGAGAAAAGCACGGCATTTATTCGAGGGAGGCGTTTATTTAAGTAAAATGGGAAAATTGGGAAGTGTCCCAGTTTTGACGACTTGGAGGTTGGAATGCCTGGGGTGCTCCCTTCTTCACCCTTCCTGATTTCTGCAACTGAATGTCATTGCCAAGAACACCAGGCAAGCAATTTATATCCCCTTCACCTATCTATACTATGTTGTCTTATTATCAACAACAACCATATGTCATAATGGGATGTTATTTATAGCACAAAATGTACAAAACTAACATAATATTCTGTTTAGTGGATTTTCTTCCACGACAAAATATTGCATGGATCTGGTATGCTGAATTATATCATTCTATTCAAGAACTATATGCATCGATTGTACTTCTAATTTCCATACTTGTAATTTGAGTAATAATATGATGATAGGCGAACTGTGAACAACAATTACAATTCAAATACAGTAGTCAAGCAAGACTTTGCAATAGCGAAGCAAGTTGATGGGCGGGCGGCACACATGACCGACACAACTCTGCACCAGAGCGGGCAGAGCACCCCCCGCCCCCCTATCAGATCATGCTGGATCCATTGCTGCAAGAAAATTTTAAAACTAAGATGATTCAACAAGAACATCATAAAATTGAATATCATCTTTGTGAAGTTATGGCCGGAATTAGTTTCTGCAAGTTGAATATATATCAGCCATTTTATTTTTCTTTCATCTGACATACCATAAATCTAACTTCATTTGACTGGTCAACTGTTAAACATCAGTCCCTTAAATTTTTTTACAAGCTACTGAGTGTTGATTGAAGCTCTTGGCAACAGTGCAATCACCATGAGCAGATACATGTACGCTTAGCGTACCTATTTCTCCAGAATGGGGAACAGAGATTTCATTTGATTACTGGAATGAAGAAACTCAATCACATTGCTCTGCCGAAGTTTACAGTTAAATTCTGAGGTGAAAAATTTAAACACATTGCATGGTTTAAAATCCACGCGGGCTATACAGGTTGTCCCCAAAACCCCGAAAACTATTGAAATAAATGTATTGTTAGAATTTGAATGCCTCAGCACTCTGCTGAACCCACACGTGCATCAAAGCTTGACGTAAGTAATTTTTATGCATAAAGAAACCGTTTGAAGCTGTTTTAAATTCCCAAGGCCAAGAGCAGAAAATCGTGTGCTTTACAAAGATATTTTAATTTCTTCATAAATCAATATTTAATATATGCACCCTTGTCAATATTTTACGCATCTTTGCGTTCAGGTTAGGGAAGCCTCACATATCGATTTTTTCCACGAGAAACGGGGTGCGGGGGGGGGGTGGGTGGCAGCTGCGACGTTTCTCTGTAAACATCATGGAAAAAATCGATAGTTTTTATCTTTGCAGAGTATAAAAAAGAAAACAATTTGATACAAAAAGCAGTCTATATATTCGTAATACCATACC